AATCCACTGACGAAGAACAAATTAAAATATACCAAGCAAGAAAAACTTGTGTTTTCCAGTCTAGCCTGTTGGGGCACCATGCCTGTTGGGGCACCATGCCTGTTGGGGCACCAATCATACCTACATGATTTGGGGGCTAAATCCTAGAAAATCGAGGTCAGGAGAGGATGTTAATGCTTGTTCTAGCTATAACCTGGGGTGGGGGTGGGGCGTGTTTAGATTATAGATGTTTTTCTTTGAAGAATTGTTAGGGACTGTGTTAATGAATATCTGATACATTTATTAATTTTAAATGATCTCCTGTTTCTTAGAAACTGACTCCAAAAGGAGTGGCTTTGCAGGTAACATTTTTGTCTATGTGTCTGCCTCGTTCCTGTTCTAGAAACGTATGAACCTTCTGAGCGTCCCGATCAGGTTCCCTGTGGCCTTTCACGAGAACAAAGGAACAGTAGGTCGCAAACATCTGCTGATGCCACACTGCTGCCAACACCCTTTTTCTCAGTGTACCTGGACCCTCCGCCATCATCCCATGTGTCTCCATCATCCACATCTGCGTTCCAAGCCCCTGGCAGTCTCCCTGCTCCGGACTCCTCGGTTCAGATTAAACAAGAGCCCATGTCTCCCGAACGTGAAGAGAGTGTGAATGCTGTGCCACAGGGGTCTGCTGGTAGTGTGCCCACGGAATTGCCTCACACTAATAGTATGTAAGCTCTTTTCTCTGATAGTGTTACTAGGAGAATTTTGTATTCATGATGTAAAGTCGTTTCATGTGAAATAAATAAATAAAGCTCAGCTTATTACATGTTTTATTGAACTTGTCTTTATGCAGGAGGATTAATTTTAAACATTCCAGTAATTTCCTCTAGTCCAGGGAAACGGAACTTGACTTTCCGTTAGCACCTAAAGGTTCTGTTTACTGGGATTGGTTCAGAATTTATTTGACTGTTTTTTGAGATATGTGGAGTTAAAATTGGTCTGGCCAATTTCTGAGATTAAAGCCTCTGAACTTCACTGTCTCAAATCCAAGCTTGAGGGACAGGTGAGCATTGTGGAAGGTCATGTAATAGGAAGTTGGGTGGTTTTGAGAAATAGTTAGGATTTGTATTTTATAAAATGACGAGTTAACATTTGAAAATAGTTTATAATCTATTTAAAATCCTGTTGGAAGTTTGCATAACCACAGTGGTGTTTTATTGAAAACTAAGTAAAAACAGACAACAAACAAACTGGCATTGTGTGATTTCTTGACAAACAGTCAGAAAAGTTACCCTGGATTTGCTCTCAATACCCTGTTGAAAGGCGCAGTGGTTGTTCGGTGGTAGAACGCTTGCCTTCCATGTTGGAGGCCCAGGCTTGAGTCCTGGCCCACGTACTTCATGCACAGCTGCCATCCTTAAGTCAGTGGACGGTCGTGTGCTGCAGTGATGCTGAACAGCCTTCAGTGGAGCTGCCAGACTGAGACAGACTAGGAAAAAGGCTTGGCAGTCTACCAAAAAGCAACCTGTGGAAATCCTATGGATCATAGTGGTTCAATCCACTCCAATCGTGAGGATGGTGCAGAACTGGTAACATTTCATTCTGTGGTACATAGGCTGTCCCGAGTCGAAGACCAAGTCAATAACCGCTTTCACCATAATCTATAGATGTCTGCATCAGATGTGTATTTTCTTTCATGTTGGACTTGCAGCTAGTTTTATATGAGCAGGGTTTTTTGTTGTTGTTTTTTTAATGTCACCATGATGCATTATAGTGACTTTTTGAGGTAATTTTCACAAATAGTTTTTGATTTCTCTTTCTGATTACAAAAGCAATTCATGTTTATTATAAAAGCTTGAGAACCTGTAAATTTGTTATTTTGTTATTCTTGGATCTTCAATTGTGTGTGTGTTTATATAGAGACATTATATATAACACTCCGTTGTATGTCTTTGAGTACATTTGTGATTATTTCAACCGTTTCAGTTCCTAGACATGAAACAGCTGAATCAAAGGAACAGATATTTTTAAGTAAGCTCACTTCTGCTGGTGTATAGCTAAATTGGATGATGTATAGAAGTCTGTGTTGTTCTTATGTGTCATTAAAATGCTTCATCTAAAAGTTTTTATTTTTCTAGTTGAAAAGTACTTGAGTAGTTGCATAATCTGGATATAATACTACATTATATGTCTTTTAGTAAGTCTGTGATTATTTCAACAGTTTAAATTCCTAGGCATGAAACGGCTAAGTCAAAGGAAGCATTTTTAAGTAAGCTCACTTTTACACTACTGGTGTATAACTAAATCAGGCGGTGGGTAAGAGCCACGGTGGAACTGTGGTTTAGTTGTCAGGCTGCCTGTTTAAACCCACTAGCCACTGTATTACAGGAGGACGTTGAGGCTGTCTACTCCTGGACAAGTGTATAGTCTCAGACACTCTACATGGGGCCACTACCCGTCAGAATGGACTTGATGGCAGTGGGGTCATTGTTCTGATGAAAGCAAGACGTAATGCCACCCTGGCAGGGGAGAGGCCATGATCAGGAAGGTGGTTTTCCCAGGGCGAGGCTCACCCATTGCACTGTAGGTGTGTTGACCCCTGCGATTTCCCCAAATGCAGGAAGCTTGACTGCGTAATTTGTGGTACTGGGGGACTGCGCTCTCCCCGGAGTAAAAAAAAAAGAAAAGAAAACCAGATGTAAAGGTGAAAGTGCTTCACCTGAGTAGATAAGTGTCTAGTAAGAATAAAGCACAGTGGTAAATATATCGACATTTAACATAAGAAAGCAAAGGGAATAAGCCTGTTTGTGATTGTGCAAAGGAAAGTATTCATAGAAATATATCTAGTTGCTGGGAAGGAGATGGGGGCCAGTTAAAGGCCTTACCAGTCATGGTTTTGTTGTTAACACAGGGGAACTTCACTATTTGGTAGAAATTTAATCTGTGATAAATAACTTGCAGGGTGTGACTGTACATAATGGACACAAAGAAAGATGCAATAATTTTTCTCTTCTCAACTCAGGAGAGATCAGTGACAGTTGTCCAGTTTACCCAGCCATCACTGCAGCATTGCCCTTGTCAGAACTAACAGAGGCTTTCCATGAGACTAGCCATGAAGTGGAGCTTTCTGTGGAGCAAGGACATACAAGAAAAAGAGAAAATTCTCTCTCTTCCCAGTCAACAGCTCTTCCTCACCTAAATAGAGAAGGGGAGGAACCAGCCAAAGGCAACAGTGGTTCGGAAGCCTGTACCAGTTCTTTCCCAAGATCGTCCTTTGCTTCAGAAACCCCTTTGGAGAAGGAGCTCCACTCTCCAGCTGACCAGCCTGAGCAACAGGCAGAATCCACTCTGACATCAGCTGAAAGTAGGGGAAACAAGAAAAAGAAGAAACTCAGGAAGAAGAAAACTCTACGGGCGGCCCACATTCCTGAGAATAGCGACACTGAGCAGGATGTATTTACCGCCAAGCCTGTACGGAAAGCAAAGACTGGGAAGTTAGCCAAAGGGGGCAAAGTAACAACTTCCACCTGTGAAGAAGAGGGCAGAGCTGCCCAGGAACAAGAGAGTGTCAGAGATGAGCCAGACAGTGACTCGTCTCTGGAGGTCCTGGAAATCCCGAACCCTCAGCTAGAAGTAGTAGCCATTGATTCTTCAGAATCTGGAGAAGAGAAACCAGACAGCCCATCGAAAAAGGATGTCTGGAACTCAACAGAGCAAAACCCACTTGAAACTTCTCGTTCTGGTTGCGATGAAGTTAGCTCTACCAGTGAGATTGGCATCCGTGTCAGGTAAGACTGTTGGTCCAGTCGGAATGGCTTCCACCAAACTACTACTGCTATTACTGCTGCTTCTCTCATCTTCTTTAAAATAGACCTTTTGCTTTGAATGACATTTATTCTTAAAAAGTTCTGAGGTGGGAATATGGAAGCAATGGAAATCAGATCTTTTCCTCTTTTGACTGGTAGAAATATTTACTCTTTATTCCCCATCATGTAGAATTGCAGGCAGAAGAATGGATCTCTGCTATAGTTACTGCTTTGCCCTTGTATTGAAAAATTGTGTTGCGTCAGGAAACTTAGTGTCCCCTCCCTCTCCTGCTCACACAGATGCTGAGATTTCTGTTTGTTGATTTTCTAGCGTGGCAGAAACCCAGACTGTGATCTCCATGAAAGGATCAAAAAACTCCTCAGGTATTTGATGGTTCTGTTTTATTTCAATTAACCATAGCCACAGCCATTTCAATTAACCATAATTTATTTCCATCAACCATATATTAGAGCCAGGGTTTCAATCCACATAGGGGAAAGAGGAGCATTTCATCAGCAAGAGGATTGCTCTGACACAAACCTTGCACCTGTGCTTTTCTGCTTCTTAAGCCCATCTCTCTTATACCGTCTTCTGCCTTTCAGCTAGGTAGTATAAAGTATATTGGCTCCAGTAGTATTTTCTTCGAGAAGGGAGTGCTTAAAGAAATATCTAGTGTCAGGGTAGAGACTGGGTGTGAAGACAGATTGCGTATCTTCTAGGTACCTCTTAAAAACTCAACCGTTTAATTATTTTTTTCCCTAAATGAAAAGCCATCCTTTTCTGTCTTATTATGGAACTGCCTGATGAAGATGACTAATGAAAAGCATTATGGTTTTTAGGGAAGCGGGGTTTTAGAGGGATATTTTGGTTTAACCCTGGCACTACTGTATGATATAATGGTTTGGATTTCTAGTTTATTTTTTCCCCCCAAACTCTCGCAGCTATCTCTGAAACATAATCCTCTTTTCTAGAAATGTCCTCAGAGCTAGGAGACGATGATGAGCCCACAGAAGGGAGCTTTGAGGGGCACCAGGCTGCAGTGAATGCAATACAGATATTTGGGAGCTTATTGTATACCTGTTCAGCAGATAAAACGGTCCGGGTTTATCATCTGGTGGTAAGTTGGTTAGTGGTAAGGTGGTTAGTTTGAATAATGAGGGTTGGGTTGCACGTTACAGGGAATGCAACACGCACTCTCTTAAGCAGTCATTAAAAACCAGTAGTAGCTGCGGAGTGGTTCGGACTCAGGGTGAGCCTGTGCGTGTCAGAACTGTGTGCTTAATTAAGGTGGTCAGTGGCTGAGCTTTAGAGGACAGATTGCCAGGCTCTTATTCAGTCATCTCAGGGTTGACTCAAGCCTCCAGTCTTTTCATTTAGCAGCTGAGCACATGAACTGGTCGTACTGCCCAGGGCCTTGTCTGAGCACATGAACTGGTCGTACTGCCCAGGGCCTTGTCTCTTAAACAATAAAAAGGACATTTTAAAGAGCCCTGGTGGTTAAAGCACTTGACTGCTAACTGAAAAGTCAGTGGTTTGAACCCACCAGCCACCCCAAGGGAGAAGAAGACCTGGTGATCTGCTCCCATAAAAATTTCAGCCTAGGAAACCCTAGTGGGCGGTTCCACTGTGTCCCTGCAGGGCTGCGGGGGGAGTGGGAATGGCCTCTGGCCCACACTAGGAACATTGGTTGTCAAGGGTAGAGGTGGGCTTTAGATGGACTTTAGATGCAGTTGACTAAGCAGCTCAGCATTGTCACTTAAGACTTTGTTTCTTTCTGTTTCTCCACCTTCCCTTCTCTGATACTGTCTTTTCCTGAAGTTGTTCCCCTCATGCTCACAAGGTCATTGCCAGGAGCCCACCATCAAGAGTCTTTAGCTTTATTCCCTGAGCCAGAGGGATGGATTACATTGAAGGGCTTGGGCTAGACAGGTCAGTCCTATGGGGTCAGCCTCATAGCTGCTGTATTATAGAGGAGGAACAGAATGAACATTGGAGAGGGATTAGAGAAGGAAAGATTCCATGAGTGCCACAATGGTTAAGCACTGGACTATTAACCAAGGAGTTGACAGTTCAAAACCACCCAGAGGCGTCTTAGCGGTAAGATTAGTGAAAATGCTTCCTTGAAAGTTCTACTCCGTACACAGAATATTGCCGTGAGTCAGGATCAGCGTGATGTGAAAGCGGCTAACTACAGTGTTCACAGCTGTTGAGTCAATGCTGGATCATAGCGACCCCCTGGGGGTTTCTGAGACTCTAACTGTTTGCGGGAGTAGAAAGCCTAGTCTTTTCCCATGGAGCTGCTGGTGGTTTTGGACTGCTGACCATGTGGCTCGCAGCCAATGCTTAGCCACTATACCACTAGGGCTCCAATTACAGTATTAGAGCAGGCATTTTTCATGACTAAGAAAACTGCAAAATCTGAGTTACTGAAGAGAGCAGTGTGTTTCCCTGCCCCAGAGTTAATGTCAGCTGATGCTCATTACTCTCAGCTTTCATAGAATGAATACTTTTTGAGTGTTTAATTTGGTTAATATCAAACCAATTCTGCTTATTGACATGTATAGCCAAGACATTTTAGGAATTCTATGTAGTCTGCAAAAACACCGTGAAAGTATTTGAAAGAGTTAACATCAGTGAAGTCAGGTGACGGGCTTAAAACAAAAACTGTCTAGGTAGCAACGATGAAACATAATTTTCCTCTAGTTCTTAAATGCTCCCCCCTCATCATGATCCCAGTTCTACCTTATAAATCTGGCTAGACCAGAGGATGTACACTGGTACAGATAGCAACTGGAGACACAGGGAATCCAGGACAGATGACTCCTTCAGGACCAGTGGTGAGAGTGGCGATGCCTGCAGGGTGTAGGGAATGTGGGGTAGAAAGGGGGAACCTATTACAAGAATCTACGTGTAGCCTCCTCCCTGGGGGATGGACAGCAGAGAAAGGGCAGGGGAGTCGTCAGACAGTGTAACGTATGACAGAATAATAATAATTTGTGAATTATGAAGGGTTCATGAGGGAGGGGGGAGGGCAAAGGGAGGGGGGAAAATGAGCAGCCAATATGGGCTCAGGTGGAAGGCAGGTGTTTTGAGAATGATGATGGAAACAAATGTACATATGTGCTTGACACAATGGATGTATGTATGGATTATGATGGGAATTGTACAAGCCTCCAATAAAACGGTTTAAAAAAACAAAAATTGTCTTGGCAATAGGTCTTTAAGCCTATGAGGGACAACAGAAATGAAGGAAAGAAGCAATGAATTCATGAAATATGAGTAAGACTCAGATTTGGGAGGTCAACTTTAAATTTTAAGAAATGTATGCATAGATTCATTCTAATAGATCTCAAAATGTATGTAGAAGTCATAGTTAGGTTCCTTTGGAACCATAGCTGGACCACTAGAGCAGGAGGACCCCTGACATGTCTTTGAAGGTTTTGGAGCATTCTCACACGCAGAAACTTACCTAATTGTGGGATTCATTAGTCCTTGCTCCATGTATTACAGAGCCTTGCCACACACATTTTAAAAAATCAATGAATTGCCTTAAATGGCTTTTGGTTTGTCTCTGCTAACTTAATAGCAGTGTGGCGGTTTCAGTGCATATGACTGTTTGGTGGGCATTCAGAAAGCAAGTGTTACTGAACACCTTTTGTGGGCCAGCTGTGGGTTTTGACATTGAAGACACAAGCGTGAAGAGTATTTCTAACATCTTTTTGTTGAGGAAACGCATAATTAATCCTTGAGCGTCTTACAAGTAATAACCTGATCTGTCTTGGACTTCAGAGTCGGAAATGCATAGGTGTCTTCGAAGGCCACACCTCCAAAGTGAACTGCCTCCTGGTTACTCAGACCTCCGGGAAGAATGCCGCCCTGTACACCGGTTCCAGTGATCACACTATTCACTGCTACAATATTAAGGTGGGTGGGCGCATAGAAACCAGAAGTGACTGTAGATGCCATTGACGAAGCACTCAGCAACATAGCTGGGAACTTTATTTCTTTTTGTCTCTCTGCACTAGTTCCTTTCATGACTGCCTGGAATGTCGGTGGGAATTTACGGAATAAGGGAATTTGGGGGATGGTAGAAAAGTTCTGAAAGTTGATTGTCATAGGGGTTGCATGTATGTGCACTTTACCCCAGTTCGGTGTAATGTTTATTTTGTGTGGATGTTGTAAATTCAATTTTTTAAAATTACAGACAAATTTTGGCAAGACACAATGTGAAGTAAAAGGGGGAGGATAGTACTACAAGGCAGGATAGGCACAGGATCAATGACATATGTTGTAAGGAGCTTACAAGGGACCTTGGTGGTGTGGCAGATTCAACATTGGGCTGTTAAAACTGCAAGTTTAGTTTGGTGGTTGAAACCCACCAATCACTTCACAGGAGAAGGTGAGACAGTTAGCTTCTAAAAAGTTTTATACCTTTGGAAACCCAATAGGGTTACTATGAGTCAGGGCAGTGGGTGAGGAGTTTATACCTTTGAGAAGAGAAAAATGCAAACATGTTCATGTATAAATTGGCAAATGACTTCTTAACAAGAGAGAATAGCAAATAACCATGAGAAAATAATGCAGTTGGCGAACCAATTGATCAACGTTCAACAGAAACATGGGTAGCAGGAGACAGCAGACAGTATAAGATAGGAAAATAATAATAATTTGTAATTAACGGTTCACAAGGGTGGGGGAAGGAGGGAAAAGAGAGCTGATACCAAGGGCTCAGGTAGAAAGAAATGATTTTAAAAATGATGATGGCAACATATTGCAGATGTGCTTGATACAATGACATGGATTGTTCTAAGAGCTGTAAGAGCCCCTAATAAAATGACTTTTATAAAGTAAAAGAAAATAATGTAATTTTGCCAATAAATGCAGATTAAAACAAAAATACAGTATCATTCTTGACCTACAGAATTAGCAAAAGAACTTTAAAAGATTTTTCAGTGTTTTAAATGATTCTAACAAGATAATATTTGGCACAGTGGGGGCCTGTACGTTGGTGAAATCTGGTATAATTTTATATAGTGAGGTATGCACATATTAAGCAGACAGCGTGATAACTTTTGTGTAGGTATATGTTTGTGTAACCAAGGTCAAATGTAAACTATTCTCATTTCCCTGAAGGTTCCCTTACATACCTCACAGACACAATAGCTTACTCCAGAGACGATCGCCACTCTGTCACTGTCATTCTGGATTACTTTTGTAAGGGCGTGAAATTCAAAGATAGTACATTTTTTAAAACTCTAATGCCTGAAATTCACCTGTGTTGAATGAACTGGTAATTTGTTCTTTTTTCTTGCTGTGTAGCATTCAGCTTCTTCCTTAAATTACAAAAAGGCCTCATACCAGCGACAATATGAAATTTAAGTTTTAAGCATATTCACCATCTTTTTCAATGTAGTTTATTCTGCATTTATGTTTGTAGTTTTGTGGAACAAGTTAAAAGATGAACTCTGAGATAAAGAAGTTAGGAAGAAAAGATCGAAGTAGTTGACAGCTCACAACTTGTCCCATCCCCCCATTTATCACCATTTTCATTTTAATATCTGCTTCCAAACCCTTTAAAAAGTTAATCGTTTTTTTAAAGGTTCTTATTTAATCTTGAATATTTACTATGTTACTTGCCCTGTACTGGGTTCTAGGTGGTAGGACTTGGTAATAGAACCTAGTTCTGGGAAGTTCATCGAAATAATTTCTTGAAAGTCAAAGTCAGATCAAGTAACAGCCTGGATTTACTAAGGGGGTTTTAAAATATATATATAATTCCAGAACCCACTGAATTAGAATTTTAGGGACGATGGATACAGTTTACGGTTGTATATACTTTTAAAAGCTTCCTAGTTGGTGATGGCCTGAATAATTTACAAAGCCGTCGTACCAGTTCAAAGAAGCACTTAGGAGTCGCTGAAATAGAGACTCAATTGACAGCACCATTTGATTAATGCAATTATCTAAAGTCTCAACATGCAAACACAACCCCCATTTTAGATGTCACTTGCTGCTTTATCTTTGGCCACTAATTTAAGAGCCTGAGATCCAACGTAAACAACGTTCTGCAGAATTTATACATGGAAAATTGTAGCATGGGTACCATTATTAGAATTTTTATTTGTTTTCATAGTTATCTACAGATAGGGAGCTTGGGACCTCATACTTCAAAATAGGGGGAAATGTAAGAGAGTCCTCTACAAAATAAAAGATGCCACCTCCTGTCCTTAGAAAAATAATTTCACGTAGAGAGAATTGCTTTTGTACCTTGTTGCCATTGGCCTCTGATGAGCAGGCTTTGTGTCTTTATCAGACCAGGGAGTGTATGGAAAAGCTGCAGCTGGAAGACCGGGTTCTGTGTCTCCACAGTCGATGGCGAATCCTCTATGCAGGACTGGCAAACGGCACGGTGGTCACCTTCAGCATAAAGGTTAGTGGCTGACTTCCCCTGTCGCTTGAAAATGTGTGTGTGGTGAAGGAGGGGGAAGACAAGCTGTTCCTGTTTCCTTGTCTGAGGAGCAGCAGAACTAGCCACTGCTCAAAACAGTTCTCTTCTGAAGTGAGTGAAACAAGACCGGCCTTTCCCTTTGCTCACACCCAAATGTGCCAGGACCCACGCGTAACTGTTTCACCAAGCCAGCCCTGAAGATTGGGGACCAAGCACTGAGCCAGGGGCTCTCCCGTCTGGCATTTGAAGGATGACACCACGAAAACGGGGCGTTTATTCCTTTGAGGGTGACATTGACGTAGTTCGCAACTTGTATTTGAGAGTTTCCTGAGTTTCTTGTGTAAATTGGATTTGGGAGTTTGCTTCCACGCCCCTGTGGCCTCATTCTTTTTTACTGCAGAGAGACATTTCTAATCAGGGTAAAGGTGGGATGAGTTGAAGTTAGAAATGAGCTTTTATTGTTTGCCCCATCAGAATGAGGCGTGTCATGAATGCACTGCAGAGAGCTGGAGTGGGAAGGGCAGAGGTTGGGAAGTTAAGGGTGGGGTTGGGTACAGGTAATGGAACTGAGCTTGTGACAGCGATTTCGGTTCGTGTGCTTTGAAGTTTTCCAGTTGCTTGTACTTCATGTAACAGTGGCTACTTTTTCAGAACAACAAACGGCTGGACGTCTTTGAATGCCACGGCCCTCGGGCGGTCAGCTGCCTTGCCACAGCTCAGGAAGGTGCCCGGAAGCTGCTGGTTGTGGGGTCTTATGACTGCACCATTAGTGTGCGGGATGCTCGGAACGGCCTGCTCCTCAGAACCCTGGAGGGCCATAGCAAAACCATCCTGTGCATGAAGGCAAGTGCCGTGTGAGGGAAAGGGCGTCCGGGCCAGACGGGAAGGTTTTGAGTGGCAGGTACCCTGCTATCTAGTGTGTTAGTTAAAACACAACCATTTGAAAAGAGCAACGTTGGGGAGGAGACGAGCCAGTCAGGGCGCAATGTAGCAACGATGAAAAATACAAATTTCCTCTAGTTCTCCTACATGCTCCCCCTGCCCCTCCCATCATGATCCCAATTCTACCTTGCAAGGCTGGCTAGACCAGAGGGTGTACACTGGTACAGATAGGAACTGGAAACACAGGGAATCCAGGGTAGATGACCCCCCAGGGAGGGTGGAGGGTGGGTGGGGTGAGAAGAGGGAACTGATTGTAAGGATCTACATATAACCTCCTCCCTGGGGGACGGACAACAGAAAAGTAGGTGAAGGGAGTCGTTGGACAGTATAAGATATTACAGAATAATAATTTATAAATTACCAAGGGTTCATGAGGGAGGGGGTAAAATGAGGAGCTAATGCCAGGAGCTTAAGTGGAGAGCAAATGTTTTGAGAATGATGAGGGCAATGAATATACAAATGTGCTTTACACAATTGGTGTATGTATGGATTGTGATGAGTTGTATGAGCCCCTAATGATTTTTATAAAAAGCAACATGATTGCAGTCTCCTCGCTACAGTTGGGTAGACTGCCTTAATATAGCATCCGAGAAGCCTTGAACATGCCTTTCATTGTAGACTATGGGTATATTCTGAAGCCTTTCATGCTCGTTAATGATTCTGAAGAGACATCACCCCAGTAATAGTCAACCCTACAGAATACCCAGTTCTAACGGGGTAGTTTCACTTGAGAAAAGTTATCTGAGAAACTCAGTGTATTATCTCTCTTTGGTGCGCATGTGTAAACAATGAGAATCAGAATTTGCCAGTGTGCGTTCTCAGAGGAAACTCAAAACCTTGTACCAAATCAAACTCACAGCGTTTTTTGTTGTTGTTGTTTTTTCTTTAAGGTGGTGAATGATCTTGTGTTCAGTGGCTCCAGTGACCAGTCAGTCCACGCCCACAACATTCACGTAAGCCATGCTGATGTGTAAGCACTTCTTGAATAGAAATGCTAGTTAAAGCTGGAAGGATACCCCTAGCCACTTAAATTAGGCCCTTTACCTAGAGGCAAGGTTTGGTCCTGAGTCCTGTTCTTAAGCTCTTGGGTAATATGGTGCACCCTAGAAATGTTGACTTCATCCGCAATTTTAATGGGGACAGACTCAGGAGTTTACGTTATGGTTTGCTTACCCTGAGGTAATTGAGCATCTGAAGCTCTAAAAGTGGGTTATGATTTGTAGCTTTAAAGAGGAACCAACAGAGAGGCCGTGCTTGGTCACCGAGGAGCTGCTGTGCAGAGGAGGAGCACAGGGGCAGATAGCTGGGAGAGCGGCGCTCTTCTTGGATGCCCATCCGCTCTTCCTGGTCTGGAACCCAGGGCATAACCCCGCTTGGTGGACTTCTCGTCCACGGCCCCTGAGACCATGCAAGTGCCAGTCCTTCACGTACCAGGAAAGGCATACAGACGGCGTTACTGTGGCCTTTCCCTCTCTAGGACACTGGGTTTAAGTACAGCTACCTATGTGTGCAAGCAAGCCGCTGCTTGCCTCTTGGAATTATTGAATCATAAAGCTCAAAAGTTGGAAGGAACTTGAGAAGTCTGTGTAGTACTTCTTGCTTCTCTTCTTTCTGTGCAGACTGGAGAACTGGTGAGGATCTATAAGGGTCACAACCATGCGGTGACTGTGGTGACTATCCTGGGGAAAGTGATGGTGACCGCTTGCCTGGATAAATTTGTTCGTGTCTATGAACTACAGGTGCATTTTAAATCTGTTTGGTTTGGTATTGATAATAAGTGTGAGTTGGGGCCCAACAACCTTCATTTTATATATGCATGTCAGATAATTATGAAGCACTGAGACACACATATGCACACAGATTTTTGAGAGAGTGCTCAAAAAAATTCATAGAAAGATGGAATTTAAAAATTAAGGAATTTTTCCATGAACATTTTTAAGCCCCCTTGTATAAACGTACGCATGTACAGTATCCATGGGGGATTGCTTCCAGAAAACCCCTTGGATACCACATTCAAAGAAGAGCTCAAGTCCCTTATATAAAATGATGTATTATTTGCTTCTCACCTATGCGCAACTTTCCATATACTTTAAATCATGCCTAGATGACAGAATACCTAAGTCAAGGTAGATGTCATATAAATTGCACTTTACGCTCCCACTGCCTCTCAGGGACTGCTTTGACCTTTGACTACTTCAGTCTGTTGTTGGTTGAATCTGCAGATGGGAAGGGGAGCCTGTGGATACCATAGATATTGAGGGCTGTGTGTGTGTGTGTGTGTGTGTGTGTGTGTGTAGAGCCATCAAAATGCTAATGGTTTCTCAAGGGTAATTCTGTTCTCTAAAGTCTGTTTAGTTCCCCTTGTTTGCATGTAATTTTAAATTTGAGGGTTTGAGCCTATCTCGTAACTGGTCTTCCTAGTTCTATAAAAAGAGGGAGACCTCTTGGAGAGCTAACTGCCATCAGGTTAGATGCTTCAGCCTCGTGTTGTAATTACAGTTTTTAACCCGCCAAAGTCCTCAGAGATCATGCTTATTAACCACAGTATAAGTAACCTCGGTGCTCTGGCCTTTTCCCTTCTGCCCAAGTCCCATGATCGACTGCAAGTTTACGGAGGACACAAAGACATGATTATGTGTATGACCATCCACAAGAGTATAGTGAGTATAACTTGCCATGTCAAATATTTGCCTTTGAATGCATTTATTCAGCGTTGTATAAACTGATTAAAATATTGCTGCCTGTCAGTTCCAAAGGTCACACCTGTTCGGTCTGGCTCCTTTGTTGGCTGTTTTTTTTTACTTGCTGACCTCAGAATAGTGAAAATGCCAAATCCTAGCCAGGAGGCTACTAGGGAACTGCTTCTGGTATAAGAATAGTGAGAGCACTGTATTTTCTTCTAGTAGCTGAAAGAATTACAGTAGAAACCTTAACAACCCCTTTTAAATAGTGGTATTTAAGATGCTGCTGAAAAATGTGTTTTCCAGAGACACTGTGATCTGAGCAGAGCACTGGGGTGACGGCGGGGGACTTTGGCCGGTGTGGCACAGTGAATGGCAAACCTCAAAGTAGACGTGAACCCACTTAGTCCCACTAAGCCTTGGTTTATTTTATCTTTTAAATGATATAGCCAAACCAAAATGGTCGCCATTCGAACTGAGCAGCAAAGCCCTATGTTTGAAGTGCAGAAGCCTCATCGACAGTGCCCAATAGAAGCCACAGCTGCACCAATTAAAGCATAATTCTGGGGGGACCTCTCACCTTGCCCCGCTGTCCCTCAGCCACCCCTCAAGAGTTTGAAAGCACCTCGACTAGAAGAGCTATAAAATATGTCCCTATTCTGGACCCCTGAGATAGGTTTTGGCTTAGATTAGTCTTAACCGCGCATAGCTGCTGTGAGGGGCCTTCGGAAAGTTTGTGGACAAATAGAATGAAAAGATAATGGGGTGTTTCACCAACTTTTTGTTTTCCCCACCAACTTTTGGATATCTTTTTGTACAAGTAGCTCCTCCACCACATCACACCCCCATTTCCTTTTGTGTGTCCTCCTCTCCCTCCCACATCTGTTCAGCCTCTGTTTCTGCCGTGCATCTACTCCTCGACCCCAGTTTTCCCAGGGTCGTGTAGGTAACAGTCATTCCTTCTCGTATAGGTAGCTTTTGAGAGGGTGTCGTGTGTGTTTCCGAGCGCTGCGTTGGTCTGATGCGATGAATCTCTCCTTGCAGATCTACACTGGCTGTTACGATGGCAGTGTCCAGGCTGTAAGGTTGAATCTGATGCACAACTCCCGCTGTCGGGTAAGGCGTGAGGCTGTGCTCCCCATCGGACTTAGGGTTTGCTGAACCCTAGACTGACTGGTAGACCTTCATTCTCATCAGTTTAGCATTTTCATATTTGAGCTTCTTCTGATGTCTTCCACTGTAGACTAGAATAAGGACCTTTAATTTTTATTTATTTAATTGTATGTGAATTTTTTTTTAATTGTTCTCTGGGTAGTTCAGTTTTTAAAACTGAACAGGAAATCATTCTGTATGTCTGTAATGGAATGTTTTTTAAGACACAAGGTATATTTAAATAGCTTCTGCTCAAAGGTGGTTTCCTAGATGGTGTTTTGTTATTATAAAAACAGTGCCTGCTTACAAAAATAGCAACAACCCAGAAGTTTGAGTACAAAGTAGAAGTGCTCATTCTCACAACCTGTCCCCCACTCCTAAGATATTACAAATATTCATAGTTTCGTGTTTCTCCCTGTCGGCTTAGAAGAATAAGAAAATGAAGTTTTATAGTCTTGTAGTGATACTAGGCTAAATTTCATGGTTTTATTTTTGGTTTGGGATTAGTGCTTAACTTTCAAAACTTTCACACCTTCCCTTATAAATAAACATGGCTTGTTTCATCAGGTCCAATATTAGAATTCAAAGTAAAGTTTTATATGGCCCCAAACTTCTAGCCTTTCTCTCCCGGACTCCCCCCCTCCCCTCCCCCCGCAGCCCCCTGCCCCTCCAGCATTCGTGGAATAAGAGGGACATGCTCCATGTTTAAATTTCCTTTTAGGCTTCTCCACCACCTAAGTATTTTTCAACCTTTTTTTTTTTAAACAAACAAAAGAAGCCTGTCAAGGTCTGTTTGTTGACCTTTAGGAGTGCTTTCCGGTTGAGTCTGATGGGGTGGCACGCCCTGGCCCCAAAGTCATTTTTCAACTTTTTAGACATTTTTATCTTTGCTTTAATCTTCTTCATGAAGGCAAGGAAAATCTAGTACAACAGGATCCAGGATCCGCAAATGCACAATCTATGTAGAACAACTGGGGAAATACTCTCAGGTTTTATAGGTGGAGAGGTGGGATAGCATTAGAAGTGAACATGTTACACAATCACAAGACTTACTGCAAACAACCCTGTGGAGGAAAAGGCAAGACAGAGCAGCTTTCTGACTCAGAGTGAAATGGAACCCAGAAATATGGTTACGGTCTTTAAAAAATAGGCATCATAAAACTGATTAGTAAATATCTTTTACAACAAATATTTCTACAAATACAGCTTCCTTTATTAGACATTGATATTTTCAGATTTACAAGTTAACAGTGATTTTGAATTGTTAAGAAAAAATCTTTTCTGTATTAATGGGAAAATGAAGCACCCCGGTGGTGTTGTGGGTCAGGCATTGGTCATAATGGCAGAGTAGGAGGCTCAGATCCAGCTGCTGCTTGGGGGCTTTTTACTGTCCCAGTAAGAGGACTGACAGTCTCAGATCGCTGTGTAGGGCCTCTGAGTGGAATTGACTCCACAGCAATGGTGGGTGTGTATACGTACTTGCTGGCTCCACCTCATCCATCTGAAAACGGCAGTAGCATTTCCACTGCTGCTGCCTGTAGCTTTCTACCCGCTCTCAAGGTTTCCCACCGTCTTGGCGTCTCATTTGATTGCCGTGGCTTCATTATATTTCCTCGCAAAGAGAACATTGAAGAATAAACCCAACAATTCACGGCCCTCCAGTCCATTTCAGCTCTCCATAACCCTTTGGACAGAGTAGAACTTCCCCTGTGGGTTTCTGAGACTGTAGGTTTACACTCCTGCTGAGCAGCTTGTGGTTTCAGACTGCTGACCTTGCTATTAGCAGCCCCGTTAGAAACCACTCTGTCCCCAGAGCTCCTAGATCAGCAGTTCTCAACCTGTGGGTCACAACCCCTTTGGGTCGCCCGATTCATGACAGTAGCAAAATGACAGTGATGATGTAGCAATGAAAATCATGTTATGGTTGGGGTTCACCACAACATGAGGAACTGTATTAAAAGGGTCGCGGCATTAGGAAGATTGAGAACCACGGTCCTAGATTAAAGACAAGGCATATTTCTCTTCCGTGGTAAAACCCAGGGAAGTTCTGATGGCACGTTAACTATGCTTTTCAACGGAGTTCTCCTGTTTCCCTCCAGTGGCATGGCTGCTCGTTAATATTTGGTGTCATGGATCATTTGAAACAACACTTGCTGACCGACCACACTAATCCAAACTTTCAGACTCTGAAATGTCGTTGGAAGAACTGCGATGCTTTTTTTACCGCCAGGAAAGGATCCAAGCAGGTACGTGGGCTAACCTGGGGCTCAGTAGACTGCTCGGAGCGGGGTCTGCACAGCACAGTAGGGCCCAAGTCTGGCCCTCAGCCCATTTTTGTAAATGTTCTGGCACATATCTGCACCCATTTTCTCACACAGTGTCTTTTTGCTTCTATGCTAATTGTGACAGATACTGTATAGTCCGCAAAGCCCTAAGATACTGTCTTATCTGGCCCTCTACAGGAGAAGCGAGCCAACCCCCCAGGCAAACGTAGTTGAATTTCACCTTTTTTGAGAAGATTCCCCCACCCCCACCCCCAGTTTTAACAGTTTTGTTGATATGTAGTTCCAAAAGTTGGATAATTTGATTGAGTTTTTAATACATCCTAGTTATCACTTCAAGGGAAGTGATTTTCAAATGATCAGACACAGTTCTTTTCTGTTTCTTCTTAGCAATTGAGCTAAGTTCATCTCTGTCCTGCAGGATCAGTGTGCGTCAGAATCCACTGGGTGGCAAGAAGCCAGAGTAAGAGTACACACGCACACACTGACTAAGATAGTGTTTAGGAGGCTCTGTTTCCTTTGCCTTACAACAGTGCTCAGAATGACAAGTAGGGCGGCCCAAGCACTTTCATTTGTAGAAACAAAGCCGGTATTGGCTACAAGGTTTCAAGGTTGGAATTAGATAGTTTTTGAGTTTTGGGTAAAAAAGTGTAACAAATGTTTTAAATTCAGCCTCTAGACCTAGAGGCTTATGTTAATGCTCTTGTGCTTAGACAAGAACTCATTTGCAGGTGTAGAATTTCATGTAAATTAGCAAAGTGCAGGCTCATAACTACTGTCGCTTCCAGGCCCTATTTCAAATGTCTCCGTGGGGTTTTCTGGGCGTGGGTTTTCTTGCCCTACTGCCAACTCTTGGTCACGGACCTCTTTCACTTATCTGTAGGACGCTGCAGGACACCTGGAACGGCATGCTGAAGAGGACAGCAAAATCGACTCATGAAGTTTTTGCCTCCCACGTCGGGATGTCATTAGTTGGACACTTTTCACATCAGCCCCAAGCACAAGCCTTTCTCTTCCCTTCTTCTCTGGTGAGGCAGGAAAGGAGAAGGTGCTGGGCTTACCAAGAGCAACGTCTGGGCAGCTCTAGGGGATGATGGGCTACACTTTAAGTTCTTGCTGGAGGTGTGGGTCAGATCAAACAGGTTTTAAAGAAGTCTCCTCTGGGGCAACATGGCATAGTGAGTGTATGCCACTAATGTTCTCCAGATGTTTATTACAGGGCCCCACCTTCATGGGTGGCCCTTGTCATACTCACTCTTCATTGAAGTTCGGCCTGTGAAATCTTATGTTCTTAAGATGGTTTAAGCCTGTGGTCAGGCTTTTACATACACGTTTGTTCACATGCTAGGCTTTCAGAACCAGCTTTCATTTTTCCAGTTGTAATAAGTGGCCATTAAAATTGGAACCCAGTCGTTTCATTTTCTTAACCATTACATGTGCAGTGTGTTCCTTCTTTTCTTAGATTGTAGATGGACAGAGCTGGCTTAAAGTGCTGAGACTCACAGTAGATTGTACTTCAGGATTCCAAAAGTAGATCACACAGTGAGGGGCCCTTAGAGACAGCACCTCCCAGAGAGCCTCTGCAAATCTTGACAGACCTGGTGTCTAGCTGTACGTGTTGCTGTCGACCCAGGCACTCCCTGCTGCAGGTGCTGTCAGGCTGGTAGAACTATAGCTGTAGCTTCGAGATCTCCTCTTCCCCCTCTGACTCTCCCGACTACTGTGGGTTTGAGACCTGGTTTGCCATTGCCAACCCTGTTTCCCATTCTCCAGCTGACCTAGACTGGTGCAGCACTCAAAAGGTGCAGGAGTTAAGATACAACCTCCTTGTACGGTTTTTAGAACTGTATGCAGGCTTCTAAGAAACTTATTTCTGGAAACCAGTGTCTTTGTGTTCACCAGCCAGCCAGCTGGACAAGAGTGGAGCCTGGTGAAGGTAAAGGATCTGCGTGTCCGCGAGAGCGGCCCAGACAGCAGAGCCTCAATGGGGCTGCTCCCTTTTGGAATATCTCTGGACTTGTAGCAGTAAAGCTGTGCAACTGTTGTTTTCTAACCTCGGGTCAGGACGCTCGAAACTCCAAATTGTCTCTGCAGAGAAGCAGGGAGAAGAGCCCAGTGCACATGGCAGCCTACCTGGTGTGTGGCCTGCATTTTCCAGACGTGTAGGCCACCCAGCTTTGTCCCCAGCCCTGCTAGTGCACATAGACAGTCTTTGGTCAGGTTCTCAGGCACAGCTGTTTCACCAGCTAGCTTTCAGAAGGCTCTGGGACCCCCTTGAAATTATAGGCAAAACCATATGGGTTTGGTTTTGTTTTTTAGGAAAGGTTCCAGTGGTTCTTACTGGAACCTCACCCCCACCCCAAAATGTTAACAACCAATCTAGGAGTTACTTCTAAATAATGACAGGCCGTACTAGCCGTTAACCGCTGTTCTTATAAATGGCGCTCTTCTTATCTACGCAGTGGAGATTTGTGTGCCGCTGAAGAGAACACAAAATTCTGTTGCAAAAAGTGTCTGTGCTGTTTCTGTGTGACACTCTGAAACTTTACTCCCTGTGGGGGGCACCCAAGCAAAGACAATGTTGTGTGGCCCTGGGAGTGACAATGGCCCAGGAAAGTACCCTCAGACTTACTGGTAAGTCTGGTTGTTTCCCCTGGGCTGCAGTGGAACCAGGTTTCCTTGTTGCCTGGGCAGAGCGAGCCTTGGATGCTGTGTGCCCTTCTGTCCTGACGTCATGTCGGACGAGATTGAGGAAGGGAACTTGAGGTTGGGGCCGTTTTGAGGGTCTTACAAATTGAATCGAGGCTATGAATTAGTTTATTTGGGAGACTCGTGCACTGTACCTGCAAGTGTGTATGCACGTATGACTGTTCGTTTGTGCGTGCATACACATGTAGACAGTCGCCTATACTTAGAATGTTTTTCCTCACTTCACTGACGTTTCCTTTGAAGCAGTGGCAGTAACATCTTTATGTCAAGAACATGTTAACCTTCTCATCACACCAGGTTAGCCTGTTCTCCGAAACCTCATCCTTTTAGTTCTGTTTGGAACTAGACGTACCATAGGCACCTCCACTGCTTCTGTGTGTGTTCTTCCTTCTATGTGTCTTCCAAGTTATTCAGAGCTTAGATTATTTTTAAAGTCTCCCACAACGTCCTGACTGCTGCTAGCCTCCGGCGCCCCTCTGAGAAGAGCTGGGGCGCTGGGACTTGGGTTGACTGTATTTAGTACCTTGATGAAGCCAGGAAGCTGTCAAATGACCTGACGGGAGCCTACTCATTTCTTGTAAGAGCCGGGAGGCCATTTTTAGAATGTTGTTTTCAATTGCCTGTGCCTACTTCGAAGGGCTGGAAGCCAAGGAAACAGTAGCATGAATCCTTTCATGTGCATGTTCTAGGGTTTCATGGCAGTTTTGATCTGCTAAAATATCAGTTACTTCAAGTTTTCTGCCGCAGTTTCTAACCAGGTCTTGGCATACTCTTCTACTTGGTTATCGAGTAACCAGGCACAATGAAACAAAACTCTTAAGTTCGAAGTCTCATCTCCCCGGAGGTTAACTAACTCATTGTTCCTGTGCTGCTGCTGTTCTGGGGACTTTCCCCTCCCTCAGGAGAGTTAGCAGTTGAGTGCTGTATGGGCAATGTGACTGCCGTAAGAGTGATTGTTTGCCTTACGAAAGGTTTTTGTTTCTGTAGCGACACAATAGGCAATGTTAGTGACTAGGCATGTGGATGATTTGGTGGGAACAGGTGTACCCGTAATGCAGTGGTATGGTATGTTTCTGGAGGGAACTCAGTGGAGAGCAGATTGGCATATACTGACAAGATGGATCTGAACCCTCTGGTTTGCTCAGATAACTGCAATTTCAGTCCTATGCTTGCTTACAAGTTTTATTCCCGCCCCTATTGGAGAGTTTCTAGAGCTGTTGTGAAACCCATGCCTGACACATTTATAAAACAGTGGTGGCTTCATCCCTGCCCCAAACCATCTTGTAAAACAGGAGATAAAGGATCCTCAGAGTTTAAGCGAAACAGTCTAGTGTGTAGGACTGGGCCCTGGAGGAGTGGCCGGCCATCTGGGCCACAGGGAGTTGTGTGTACAGCAGATGGTAGCTCTTTTCGTAAACCAGACCTACTGTTGACCACACGGAGCGCTAACCCCAACTCCAGTCCAAAGTTCCTCAGATTTGCTCTAAATTCAAGGCGGTAGCTCAGTTGGGAGATGAGGGGCACAAAGAAGGACTGTGGACAAGTCCTCCTCCTGTCTAAGAGCTGTTCCATCTTTGGTTTCTGGGGTGTTTTTGTTTTGTTTTGTTTTTAATAATATTCTACATGGATTCAAAAGAATAAAATCAGATGACAACTGCAAAAATGTTTGTAAGCAAATAGCCTGGCCTTCTTACATTCTGGTATAAAGCCGTGAACATCTTAAATTTGTAAAACGAGATAAAGCAAATACAAGAGGAAAATAAAGTACTTTTACTAATTGGTTGGTAACTGCCCTTGTCTATCTATTTGGCGCAAACCCTTTCTCGTCCATTGCTGGTACGGGAAGCCAGAGGGTGCTGGGTGGGAAATTGAAGAGGGTTATAGGGGAACCGATTACAAGGATCTACATGTGACCTCCTCCCTGGGGGACGGACAACAGAAAAGTGGGTGAAGGGAGACGTCGGACAAGGCAAGATATGACAAAATAATAATTTATAAATTTTCAAGGGTTCGGGAGGGGAAAAAATGAGCTGATGCCAGGGGCTTAGGTGGAGAGCAAATGTTTTGAGAATGACGAGGGCAATGAATGTACAAATGTGCTTTACACAATTGATGTATGTATGGGTTGTGATAAGAGTTCTATAAGCCCCTAATAAAATGATTAAAAAATAAAAATAAAAGTGAAGGAAAAAAAAGAGGGTTATAGAAATGCCACAGTCGGGTCCAGATAAGTATGGCAAACAGCCCCATTTAAGGATTTTGCCCGAGGTGAGTTAGTGGACAAACTGAGTTTAAAAACGAATCGCTATTCTACTTGTATTGGGCTGCATGCTTTCCCTATACGGTCAACAGCTGTTCCCTTCCTCCCATATCGTGGAAACTCTGAGTGTTATGATCAAGAAATAGAAGCGTGATTCAAGTAGGTTGAGGATTGGACAGGGGTGTTTTGTTTTGAAGGGAATCTGTTTTCCATTGTTCTGTTCTGAAAAGTCAGTGTAAGATTAGAAGTCATTCGTTCTTGGCTGTGGACAAAAAAACCCGCCCACTGCCACGTATCCTTTCTGACTCACAAGTTATTCAAATGTGAGAAAATAAAATACAATGCAATCAGCCATACACATGCCTTTATTCAGAATCAGCCAAACTAAATAGACAACCCACAGTATTCAGCCCGGTTCCATTGAGCTAGTTTACCCTAGAGCAGGCGCATCCTGAAACCACTGGACAGAGCTTGTGTTAATTTGGTTACCATCCTGTGTGTGGGGGAGAGCTTAAACGTGATAGAGGATACAGTGGCAGCGAACCAGCCAGTTGCTTACAGGTCAGTCCGAATCCTGCTGACTCGTGTTGCTGAGCAGAACTGCACCGTGGGATTTTCATGGCGGTCCTCTTTTTGGAAGTAGGCACCTCTGAGTGGCTTCAAATGGCTAAAGTTTCAGGTAGCACAGCCTAATTTGCACCACCCAGAGGCTCTGCTGTTAACAAAAGCTGCTGCAAAGGGCTGAGAGGCAGCCAAAGCCTTTGCATCTGGTTCAGAGAGCAAAACCTCAGAGGCATTTGCATCTACTTGACAAAGAGACCCAGCTGCCCCACTTACTGCACAAGTAGAGGATCAGGCTGAGCATGAAAGAGCAACAGACTGAGGAGTGAAATGGAAGAGGGAGGAGAAAGGTGCTGGAGGCCTGGGCAGGGTCAGCTGCTGAGTCCTCTGAGGTAAGTGGTTCTAGCAGTGTTGGGTAAAAATGGACATCTGAATCATCCTGCATGGCGTTAGACAGGCCATCCTGGCTCAGGCATACATGGTGAGCTGCAGCCACTAAACGGAGCCCGAAATCAGAAATGAAAACCAAGAAGGGTCTGCCGGAGTAGGAGTGTTTCCTATGGAGCTGTGGTTTACTGCCTCCACTCTCCCGACCTAGGGTGGCACATGCCTAAAAAATTGGGGGACTTCCCTGTGAGCCCCCACCCCACTCGCAACCATTGGGAAATTGAGATTGCACACAGTGGTCCACTCAGCCTCGCTGATAGACCCACCTTGAATTTGGGGAGTGTGCCCCCTCCAGGTGCCTTACCTCTAGAACGTTCAGTTTGATGATCCCGTCTCCATCCTTGTCGAACGCGTTGAAAGCTCCTGTGGGAAAGAGTGCCAGTTACAGGCTGACGCTGCCTCCACTCCTGTTGACTTGGGCCTAGGGCTGAGCATCTTCCTTGGGCACAAAGGCCACCAGCAAGCCTCCCTTTATCAAGCCCGCCTGAGCCAGGCAGGGAGTTTGCTTTTGTTGAGACTGAAGGATGATCGGCAGGCCGAGAGCCCAGCTGCCGCAGCAAGCCCCGGGAGGTCCGCCCCACTTACTGAACATGCCCTCCAGTCTGACGAAGCAGCAGATGAAGCTGTCGAAGTCAATGTTCATGTACTTGTCGGCATAGCGCATGGTGATGATGTCGTAGAGCTGGCAGTTGAGGTGGAATCCTGTGGCGGGCACATCAGTTGCCCCAGCAGGTGGAAGTGGAATCAGGCCCCTGCGTGGTTTTCCCGGGCCTTGCCCTCTGTCTCATGTCACACCCCTCTGAGCCTGGGACAGGACACTGAGTGGCCATTCTCCCCCCTTTCTAAAGAAGACCCTCAGAGTCTCCAGCTACCTCCCTCCTTTCCCCCCCCCAAGTTCCACATCCCTGGCACCCGCTTTCCCCCCAGCACCTGCATCATTGACGGCATTTCGCATCTCATAGCTGTTGATGGTGCCTGAGTGGTCTGTGTCGTACTTTTTGAAGATTTTCTGGCAATAGAAAATGTGAGGACAGAGGTCGGACGACACTCAACTCTGGAATCTACTTCCGCCATTCCCACCTTCCATTCTCTTCTCACCTGCCAGGCCTTAATCTTCTCCCAGAGATGGTGAAACTCCTGCAGATTCAGCCTCCCAGAGCCATCTGTCTGGTGAAGGGAGGTCAGGGCTACAGAGTACACAGCAAAGCCCCCTGGACTGCACAGGCTCTCTAGGGGGCGCCAGGGAGGTGATCCTATAGGACGACTCTCATGGATAGCTTACCCACAGCCCTGCCCTGCTAGGGTCCCCCCACATCAAAGCTAGGGGCAGGGGCTGCAGCTTAGTGGGCCCATCTCCTAGGCGCCACCTGTGCTCCACAGGACCCCAGGGTTGGGTCTATGACAACCCAATGCTCTTCCCAGCCCCTGTCCCTCAAACAGCCCCGAGGGGACCCGCATCAGGATGTTCTGACTCAGGACCTCCTGAAGATGTTCCTTGGGCCCCTCTGCCCAGTTGTGCGGGGCTGAGGACACAGGGCCCGGAGCGGTGGTAGGAAGGATACATCCATGAGAGCAATCATGCTTCGGCAGGACTCCAGCGTGAACCCTTGTGTCTTCAGGTCTTTATCTGGAGGGGATTGGAGGTGGGTGACTGGCTCCTTTCCGGCAGCTGGCCCTCTGCCCACCCACCGCCCGTAGCTGGACCACTCACGTTTGTGCACAACTGTGTTGAGGACATTCTTGAGCTCATCGGCACAGATCTCCATGTCCTGAGGAGGAAAGGGAAGGCCACACCACTGAGGCTTTGCAAAAGCACCGCCCAGCTGTCTGGGCTCAGAAAGTCCCTGCTGGGGCTATTCTGTGACAGGGGAAGCCGGGCTTTTCTGAGGGGCCCGATGCTGCAGCCTCAGCTGTCCAGACTGCGATGGGGCCCTCTGGTCCCCATCCAGTGCATATGTCAAGGACTTCGGGCTTTTCTGGGCTACACACATGTCCCGCCCAAAGCCCAAAGGAACCACTTCTGAACAATTAGGAAATAACAAAACCGGAGCCATTAATCAAGATGAGAGGCAACACTTGTGGGGGTCATGGTGTGGGGGTACTCACGTCGCCTGCTATCTGCCTGAAAATGTTCCGGAATTGCTGCTGTTCTTCACTTTCCTGGTCAGTGTTGCCTCTGTGTGGCTGTGGAAGTACAAAGTAAAACTGGCTCTCAGGACTTGGAGCTTGACCCCAAAGCAGGCCTGGGTGACAGCAGAGGCCGGGGACAGGGACAAACGCTCCCCTTCCATAGCCAGACTTGGTGACCTGGAACGAGACTCCCCCAGGCTCCGGCAGGCCCAGAGACCCCAAGGAAATGTGTTAGCCATGCAGACATGTAGGTTGGGGCTCACCTCCCCCCAAGCCAGTCCCAGCAGGTCAAAAGCCATCGGGTATTCTGATTCCTCCATCCTTTGTCATCAAGGCCAAGTCTTCCGAGGACCCCATCCCTCACTCTTGCAAAGTGCTCGAGGGCAGAGGAGGTGGCCCTGGATTTGTCTGGAACTTTTTTTTATCCCTTAACCTTACTCCCGTTAAGTGTTACATCCCTAGCTCCTCCCACTCCCAATAACTTGCACTGAGCTCTGGAGGCTCCCTTTCTGCCTTCGTTCCCAAGCCCCTCATCATGGGGACACCGATGCAGCGGTTGCTCAAACTGGTCCCATCTCAGGCCCTACTTCCTCCTGCTATTCTCCTGGCTGGGTAGTGCCAGTGGGCAGGCTCAGCCTTAAAATTCCCAGGCCTAGGACTGGCTGGCTGCAGCAGCCAGCCCTCAAGACATTCACCCAAGGGCCACTTGCTTGCTTGGTAGGCTGCACCCGAACTTATAGATGTTAAAGAGACACCCTACTCTTGGACCCCCTCAGTCCCTATGCACCCCAAGAGCATAGGAGGACCCTTGTGGCAGGGCAGCCAGCCTACTCATGCTGCATGCTTCAGAAACCTGCGGAGATTTCTCTTGCTTATCAGGGCTGGTTTTGCCTTTGCCCTCCTCTGCTTCCTGATCCACGCCCAGCTCCTTGTTGCTGTTGGCTCTGTCCGAGACGAAGATGATGGGCTGAAGACAGGAGGAGAGGGGAGAGGGGGTGAAGGCCAGGAAGAGCAAGGATTACAGCAGGTGGAGCTGTAATGGCAGCAGCTCTGTGCTGGGAGGAGAGGAACAGATCTGAGGCGCAAGTCCACTTCCATCGAGGCCACTAGCATGCTGTGTTGGCTGGGGGGAAGTCTGTCTGGACTCCATTCTTTCTCTCTCGTACACCCCCCCATTTCTTCTTGTGGAATAGTTAGGAGTAAACAAGGCAGGAGGTGGGAAGTGCTTGGAATGGCACATGCAGCTGTGATGCAGGTGCAGTCGCTGTCCAAGGCTCCCAAAACACTTGGAATGGAACTCCCCTAGGACCCAATGCATATAGAGCCATTAAAAGCGGAAACGACCCTCTCTGGCTGATGGGGAGGGAGAGCTTGTTCCCTGTATCACCCTCCCATCATCGTGGCAGCTACTGAGACACTAAACAAGGGACCCGTACCTCTCTGCTAGGTGTAGTTCGAAAGGAAAACAAAGCCCATGCACATGCTTGAAATGGTCAGTGGGGGCGAGGTCAGAAGGCTGGACTCCCAGCCGTGGACCTCACATGCACTACGACAGCATCTCTGGTCTCGCTTTGTTCATCCATTCCTGGGGCTGGCAGCACTGGGTTGGCCCTCGCTATCATAGGTATCAGATGCAATATGGAATATGATCTTGAGCTTCAAAGCATTTAAAGTGCTGCATAAATAGAAACGGCGTTCTCAAGACAGGCTCATGCAGTGAGAGGGTATGCAAAGGGGCATGCCATGCCACCTCTGGTTGGTGCTATGCGCCCTGCAGGAAGCACCAGAGGAAGGCCGAGCTGTCAGAGTTGGGCTGCAGTGCAGAGTGGTAAAGAAGGGTGGCAAATCTCTGAATCTCCTTTCAGACAAATGGGCTGGGAACAGCTCCCCTGGCCGAGGTTCTGTGCCCTGGGCTCTAAGCAGGCTTCACGGGCCCTGGCTGGCTCTGCCCTAAGCACAGAATTTTGCTGATGTTTGTGGGGAACCTGGAGCAAATGAGGAGTGGGAAGTGTGCCAGTGGATGCGTGTGGACACGAGATACTCCTGCCAGACAAACATCTCAGGGCCTGCCCCTGAGGTAGGGGCCAGAAGCACTGGTTTGGGAGTAGATAGATAGGCTCTCCAGGCCCGATGTTGCCACTTACTTGTATGTCCTGTGGCAAGTCATTTCATTTCCTTGAATCTTGAACTTCACCTACAAAACTGTAGATACTGTTTGAACCGGGGGAAAGCAAGGGTGACCCTAAACGCCTGCCCGGAAGCACCGAGACTTGAAGACCCTTCCCCAGCCACCAGCACGAACACCAAGACCAAGCCTTGGTGCTAATCTGCCTGTAGCTGCTGCCCCGCAGGCTCAAGGATGCCCCAGGTTAGTTATGTCTAGGTGGCACTCTGGGCAGACAACCCAGAATTGAAAAGAGCTAGCACCTTGGACACCACAGAAAACGTGTGGGAAAATGAAGTGAGGTCAGGGGAAGAGAGATAACTATTATTGTGGATTGCTGGACAACTGTACTATTAGGTTGCAAAAATGAGACAAGGGATCCTAGACCCAGAGGAAACTTTGCTCAAAACTTTGCCCCAGGATGCCCTGAGCACACATGGTCACCTTTAGGGACCTTTAAGGGACCAGGTCTGTGCAGCTGTGTGGGCCTAACCAGAACACCCCGAGGGGCCATTAGAGGCTGCAGTGAGCTGAGCTGGCGGGAGAAAGGCAACCATCCAAGGCTGTGGGACAGGAAATAGCTCAGACGGCTATCTCTTCCTCTTCCGCTGGAAGTAGTGTGGTTGAGCTGCACCTCTGGGATTGTGCAGGCGATGGTTCGCTTTCCCCTCTGCTTTGGGAAGGGAAGCCCACCACCTGGACACACACACCTGCAGAGCCTGCCGGGCGCACCTGGGCCCTGGGACGGATGAGGCATCATGAGACTACCCACTCTCCCTGGCATTCATCTCCCTGCACCTGAGAGGTCAAGGCCACCGCCCTTTGCTTGGTTTAGTTCATCAAACTTTGCTAGGTTTAGTTAAACCCACTTCTGAGATCGAAGCGGGGGGGTCCTGCTTCCGGCCCATTTTTACTGGCTGGTCACCCTCCCCACCCTCTTTTGAGAGGTGGGCACAAGGACAGAGACTCTGGAGCCAGACCCTGTCTCCGCATGGCCTGGCTCTACCACCTCCTGGCTGTGTGGACCCGGGCAAGTTGGTGAAGCGCGCGGCCCTGAAAACAGTGGGCCTGCTGTGAGGCTGGAGTGAGTCGGCTGAAGCGAAGCATCTAGAAGCATGCCTGAAAACAGTGGGCCTGCTGTGAGGCTGGAGTGAGTCCGCTGAAGCGAAGCATCTAGAAGCATGCCTGGCAGGGAGGCTTGGCCCAGCAACGGTAGGTATTATCATTCAGACACCTGCATGGCTCGAGCTGAAGCATGCGCCCGTGCTCTCCGCCCCTCGCCTGGCTACACTTACCTTGACTTTTTTCTTTTTCTGCACAAGAAAAGGGAACAGGCAAATACAGAATAAGTGGAAAGCAAGTTCCCAGAAAACCCAGTGACTTTTGGCGTCTTTGTGATCTAGTCTTCATCTCGGGGAGAGGTTCAGGAGTCCAGAAATCCGGGTTACATCGAACCACAGAAACCACCAGCTTGTTCAGAGGCAGCAGCTCTACTCCCACAAGGCATTACAGTCTCAGAAACCCACGGGGGCAGGTCTACTCTGTCCTAGCGGGCCACTATGAGCCAGAATTGCCTCGATGGCAGTGAGGGTGGCCCAGAGATGGGCTGAGGCTTCACCTTGGTTTTATATTCTACTCTCAGTGATCCTGGCCAGAGGAAGGGACCTTTCAACTCATGCTTTGTTTATTTTTAAAAGTTGGTTATTAACCCACTGGAAAAGTGGCTCACCCCAAAGGCAGTGAGTGGGTTGACTACTATAGTATATTATCGTTTTCTTTCTTTTTTTGAGCAGATGTTTGACACAGATCTAATAGGGAATCCCAGCTTCTTTTAGGGCACCGAAGGTCTAGCTGGTTGCATTCCCATGGAGCTGAGAGTAGCTGCTCTTCATCCTTTCATTGTCACTGTGACCCCCTCCCCAGCTGTCCCTCCAACACTGAAGCCAAGGGACCCAGAGGACTGAGAACGGAAGTGTTGGTGGGAACACCAAGCAAGACCCCTGTAGCTGTCTACTCCATTCCTTCAGCTGACGCAGCTCCTGATACACACGCTGCTTAGCGCTCGGAAGACAGGGACAGGGCCAAGTGCACTTAAAGCTAAAACCAAGCATCTGCCATGGGAGTTAACCCAAGTCTTGACTTGGTCGCCAAAGCCCGTGTGCTCTCTTTCCTCCCCAAGGTTGCACCTCGTAATTCAATGTTAGCTGACGCACTTCCTCTGCCCTGTGTCTCTTCCTCTAATTGTTCAAATGGCTCCTCCCTTCTAGGATCCTCTTCCGCACACCCCAGCCCCAGAGTCAGCAAGGGGTCCCAGGGCCTTGACTTTGGGGCACACCACACAAAAGCTGTGGTACCACAGGGTCATTGTTCTGCACTCCCCAGACCCCTTGCCCCCTACACAGACGCCCTCTCTCTGCTCTACCACTGGCCAATTTGCTGCCTGGCTTGGGGAAGCTGATGTTCTGAACGGTCTTACATGGAAAAGCCGACGTGCTTACCAATGGCCGATCCACGGAGATGGTGTTTTCCACACCCCTGTGAGGAACACAAACGTGGTAGGCTCCGTGTTACTAGGAGCAGGTGGGAAGCAAAGGTGGGATTTTCAGCTCACCCAATGACCCAGCAAGACAGACCTCTAGAGAACCTCAGGAACCCGCACCGCCCACTTCCCACCCTAGGAACCAGCCCTGTGTAGGCCACCCTCCCCAGCAGCCGAGGCAGGCACAGGGGTTCTTGTTGGGTCTACCCAGAGCTCCCCAAAGGCATGACCCAGCCGCCTACCCACGAAGCTTGTACTTCTTTCAGGGACAGAGTGGCAGGGCCTATGAACTCTTCTCTGGTGGCCAAGAGGGAGGATGTACCCTTGCTGGCTTTCCCTGGTCACCTTCCCTAAACACCATGTGACCCTCCTCTTGCCTTACCTTTTCTCCTTATCACGCACCAAACTCACAGTTTCTATCTCTGTCTACCGCCCCCCGCCCCTGTCTGTAACCCTCTCTCACTAGAATGTTAAGCTCTGAGGGCAGGGGCATCTTTCTGTTTTGTTCACTGCCGTATCTTCAGGGCCTAGAATGTCTCACCAAACTCCCTGCCCTGGAGTCGATGTGGACTCATAGTGATCCTGTCGGACAGAGTAGAACTGCCTCCTGAGGTTCTGAGACTTAAATCCTCATGGGAGGAGAAAGCCTTGTCTTTCTCCCACAGAGTGGGTGGTGGTTTCTAACTGCGGACCTTAGGGTTAGCGGCCCAGCTCATAACCACCCCATCACCAGGGCTCCTTGCCTAGAGCATCGCAGGTGCTTAACAAACATAAGGTAGTGAGCTAGAGGGGAGGGAGGGGAGGGCGGGGACAAGGAAGGAGAAAGGGATGAGCAGTGGCCGACATATCGCAGGATGTTGAGGGCACCCACATCTCCAGGCCCTGCCATGACCATAGCAGGCTTGAGGGACTGGGACTCACTCAGAGAGGTTCCTCTTTTCAGAGAAGACCCGGAGGATGAATTCCCCCTCCTGGTGAGGCTCGTAGGTGGAGGGCACGATGACGTACTCGCTGGGAGGCAGGCGGAAGCGCTGGGACACTTCGCGCATGTTGATGTAGGTTTTGCTCCTGGCTTTGGAAGCGTTGTACAGGAAGAAGTCCTTCTGCAGGTGCTGCTTGTTCCCATGCATCTGTGGGCGAGAAGGACTGTGAGATCCCAGCCCCTCGGGGGAAGTGGGTGTCCTGCTTGCTGGCTGTCCCTCCACGGTCCCTTCCTACTTCCCTGGCTACCTGTTTCAGTCGTCACCCTCCGGTCCTCTTCTGCTGTGTTTGGAAGTAAAGGTCACCTTATCATTTCCATTTACCTGCACGGCTTTGGCTCAGTCCCCAATCGCCTTAAGACTGGAGAAGGGCCCAAGGAGGCAGGGGGGCCTTGGCTGGGCTTGGAAAGCGGGGATTCTTCCAGCCCCTTGAGGGCCATCACCCTCAGAGTGTATCTGTGATTGAGGGGGCGGCCGTATGAATATGGGCATGTGTGTCACGGAGTGAGTCTGAGTATGCATGAGTGAGTGTGTGAGTGTGAATGTATGTAAATGAATGTGTGTGTGAGAATGTGTGAGTCTGAGTGTGAATGGTTGAGTCTGAGTGAATGGTTGAGTCAGTGTGTGTGAATGAGTGAGAGAGTGTGGGTGGTGTGGTGTGAGTCTGAGTGTGACTGTGTGTAAATGAGTGTGTTTGTGTGTGTTAATGAGTGAGCCTGAGTGTAAATGTGGGCGTGTGAATGAGTGTGAGTATGCCTGAGTGTGATCATCTATGTGTGTGAATGAGTGAGTCTACGTGTGTGACAGCAGTCTGGGGGCAGGAAGAAAGTTGGCAGTCAGAGGGCGGTGGTCAGGGGGGTTTCTGTAGTGCCCTGAGCCCCCTGCTCTGGAGCAGAGAGGGAGCAGCAGGCCCTTCCTGTCATAGCTCTGCCCACAGATGGCACCAGGAAGCTCCCTGGCTTCCACAGACAGACACACGGCCCCCCGCAACACTGCACACAGCCGCTGGTCACTTTTGTACCTCTTCGGGAACCTGGAGGAGAAACAGAAAAAGAAGGTACTCAGATTCTGTGGATTTTGGATCTGAATGGGAATTATTAGAAGGCTTATGTCATATCTGAATGGCTTCTAAGAAGGGAATGTCAGCAATTGTAGAATTGATGCAGAAATGACCCCTCCACATATCTACCTCGAACCCCAGAATTTCCCATTCATGACAAACCCCTAAGAGCTTCAGACACAGTTGACCTGACAGCAGCGACCCTGGGGGAATCCTGGGGGCGCCCTCTGGAAGCCTCTTTCGGGGAGAAAGCTTCCTAGAGCCCTGGCTCTGGGAGGCTGTGTTTCCTGGGCTACCGCAGGTCAGGGCCTGCACACCTCGTAGATGGCGAAGCCAATGGAGAAGAGGTTGGCCCCCAGTTTGCGGTCCTTCCTCCGGTTCTTCTGCATCAGGGCCACCAGGAAGCTGCAGACCACCTGGGTGTCATCAGGGTCGTCGTCTTCCTCCAGGAGCTTCAGGCGGTACTGGGGGTTGGTCCAGAAAGTGTCTGTGGCCCCAGAAAGGAAACGCACACTCAGAGGAAGGGCCAGAGGGAAGTGAGATGCATGGAGGTATCCTTCAAGACTTAGGGAACAATGATCCCACCATCTGCCTAATTACGGGGCTGGGGGGTGGGTGTTCGGTAGTCTCTACCCTTACAGAGAGGGAGCTGCCCAGACAGGGCAGCTTCCTGTCTATCAGCCAGTACAATTGTAATAAAAACAACAAAAAATAAGGACGAGAAGGACAAGAATAACCTCTCTGCCTTGTGATGGGATGGTGAAAGGAGGTGATATGTCTGTGAGGCCTCTTATTTAATAATCCCGCTGTGCACACTGCTGAACACCTCCATGCATGGAAAAACCCTTGGCAGTGACATAATCTGGTGTCAACTTGTAAAGGGGTGGGGTCTAGCCTGTCTATCAAGTCGCAGCTTGATGACCTCATTTGGAGGCACCACAGAGGTAAATAGCTCACTGGAGGCCAGATAACACACAGACTCTCTGCTTCGTCTTCCTGCTGACAAGACACATGGTGCTACAGCTAGAACCCTGGAGCTAGAGGAGCCACAGGGAGACGTATGTTAGTGTTGAGATGCTTCCACCACTACCACTGAATCCACAAGACTTTCCACCCACTGGCCTGTGATCTTCCTGCATGCAGCGTCATTGCAGGTGGTGTGTGAGTCTGAAGAGGAATTTATAGACTGGTATCAGACATAAGGGCTAATATCAGACTTATGGCCTTGATCTGGACTGGGCTGGGATGTTTTCTCAATATACAACTGCACTTTTATAGAGAGTTCTCTATTACACACATGAGTGTCTATGAATCCGTTCCTCTAGTCCATCTGGACTAACACAAACCCCACAGCCATCGAGTCAATTCCAACGCACTGTGACCCTAAGGGGTTTCTGAGATTGTAAACCTTTATGCAAGCAGATAGCCTCATCTTTCTCACAAGTGTCGGATGGGTTTGAACTACCAACCTGGTGATCAGTAGCCCAATGCTTAACCCACAGTGCCACCACAGCTCTCTTTTCACCCGCGGGCTCATCAAGTCACTGAAACCTCAGACGGGCTGTCCCCATCTCATAGCTGGAGACACTGAGGTACACAGAGGCTAAGCGGTTTAGTAAGATCTCACCAGCTAGTAAATGGAAGACGTGACGTCAAAGCTAAGTTCCTCTGACTTCAGCGCTTCAGCCCTTACCCCCACCCCCCCCTGCAATTTCCTAGGTATGATAGGGTTTATTCTAATGACGCTCATGTCCTTCTGTCCGTAAGAATTTAAAAATACACATATGCACCCTTTATCGTTTTGTTGGGGTGGTGGGGGTTCAGACTAAGCGACGGGAAGGAAGGTGCGTTGGTGGCGTCGTGGTTCCCAGTTGGGCTGCTACCGGAAAGGTCAGCAGTTTGAAACCACCAGCTGCTGCCCTTCGGGAGGAAGTTGAGCCTTTCCACTCCGCAGTGACCGTGTTGGAAACCGCAGGGGCCGCAATACCCCGTCCCGTAGGGTGGCCGTGAGAGAAGAGATGGTAGCGATAGCGACGAGAGCAGAGAGGACGCTAGTGACGGTGCTACCGGGCGACCACGCACACGGTCGTTCAAGAAGTAGTCATCTGCGTCAACGCACACAAAACTGCATGCCTTAGGGGCGGCTAGGCACATGCAGACAACACGGACGCCGAGGGGTGAGGCGCTCGAGGATGATTCCAGCCAGTTCCTTCTGGCGCCTTTCAGTCTCTCCTTGACCTTCTTTCTTTCCCACGCTCTCCCTCTGGCTGGTTTCCAGGCTCTGTAACCGCCACTGGTTGCGATTTCATTTTGTGGTGGTCAAATGCACGTAACATAGGCATGCCCCCGGCAGCAGCTTTTCAGTGGCACCAACGACCGCACTGAGCTACGTAACCGGCGCCCATGTCTCTTTCCATGGGTTCCCCAGCACCGCTCCAAACCAACTCCGCTCCCGGCACCACCCTCTCCGCTCCGGGCAGCCTCTCATCTCCTTTCTGTGTCTCCCTGCACCTGCCCACTCCAGCGGCCCCCCAGAGAGGGCCTCGCCTGGCGTGTGTCCTTTGGCGCCTGGCCTTGGTCCCCTTGCACAAAGCTTCAAGCTTCGCCTCCATGGTGTCGGGCGTGTCAGGGCATCAGTTCTCCTTCGGGCTTCACTCACTCTCCACCTGGCCCTCCGAATTAGACCCCTCATGACATTGGTCCTCCTCCAGTTCAGTTCCACGTTCTGAGACCGCTCCCTGCGGCGAAGTCCTTCTCAGTAAGAGGAGGAGGGGTTAACAGGATACTGTGTTTCTGGGACTCAGTGCAGACTCGAGGAATGCTACACCAAGGTCACTGCCATTGAGTCGATCCCAACTCAAAGCGACCCTGTCCGATAGGACAGGGTAGAACTGCCCCTGTGGGTTTCCAAGACTGGTAGTCTTAGTCTACTCGGAAGTTGTTCTACCTGGGCCCCACCTACCCGTACCCCGGTCAAGAGTGTCGCCCACCTGGGAAGTTGCGGCAGCCTCCGGCAGAGCAGCCCCTCACCCAGCGGCCCTCGTTGACAGACACGGTCCAGGTCTGCAGCTTGTCCGACTCCAGGGCGTCGGCCGTGAGGTTGCAGATCTCCAGCTTGGTGAAGTGGTGGGTGAAGTCATCGTAGGACATCCTAAGAGGTAGGAAGAAGAGAGGCTCGTGGGAGCAGGTGTTGAGGGTCTGGGAAAGGTGAGATAGTCTGGGCGAGCGCAGCCCAACCGGAGTTCAGATGAACTTGATTGGGGGACCCCCCCAGGAGAACCAAGCCCTTCCTCTGAGGGTCACCCTGTTGGTTTGACGTGTCCACTGGTCCCAAACAGGACCTAAACCCAAGTGCTCTTGATGGGAGAGCTGAGCAACTCTCTTCCCAGTAAGTCGTTGTTTGTACCACCCTGGACACTAGGCCCAGTGCCTGGCACAGGGGAAAGAGAGATGGTTTATGGGAGGACAACTAAGCAAGCAATGTTAAGGAGACTTTGAGGAGTCTCACAAATAGGTTAACCCAAGTCTCATATAAATTTAGGAGCCCCTTAGAAAGTTCCATGGACCCCTGGTGGCATAGGAGTTAAGAGTTGGGGTCTAACTCCAAGGTCAGCAGTTAGAAACCATCTGCCACTCCTCAGGAGAAAGCAGGCCTTTCTGCTCCCCCTCCCCCAACAGTTTTATTGGCACACCATTTACATAGCACACAATTCAATCATTCAGTCATATCAAGGAGAAATGTACCATCAGCACCACATCAATTTTAGAGCATCTCCCCCACCCGCCATGGTTAAATGGCCTTTACAATGAGTTGTGCAATCACAATCAGTTCTAGTGCTCCCTCCACCTCCTGCCTTTTTTTTTCAAGATCATAGAAACGTTTATTAAATAAAAATAAGAAAATGTGAAGGTATTATTTCCAGCCATATCCTCCCTCTAGGTCTATACACTTTAAAATATATATACAAATCATTTTTATTGGGGCTCTTACAGCTCTAATAACAATCCATACATTAATTGTATCAGGCACATTTGTACATATGTTGCCATCAACATTTTCAAAATATTTTCTTTCTACTTGAGCCCTTGGTATCAGCTCTTCCCACACACATACACTCTAACTCTTGTGAACCCTTGATAAATTATAAATTATTATTATTTTCATCTTTTTTTAATTTAAAAATTTAATCATTTTATTGGGGGCTCTTACAGCTCTTATAACAACCCATACATCCATTGTGTCAAGCACATTTGTACATATGTTGCCATCATCCTTTTCAAAACATTTTCTTTCTTATCAGCTCCTTTATTTTTTTTCCTCCCGCCCCACTGGCTTCTTTATTTACTCCCCAAATCCCTTTTCCCTCCCTATCACCCAACCCCGACCCTTGTGTCCCCTATAAATCCTTGTATCTGCTATTATCATTATGCATCCACGCCTAGAAGACAGGCCCTTCTACTCCAATAAAGAGTCAGTCTCGGGACAATCACGGGGACTGGTCTACCCTGCCCTGTAGGGCGGCTGTGAGTCAGAATCAACTCGATGGCGGCGAGTCTGGCTTTTTTTTTTTCTTTTTAAAATCATTGAGAGCTGTACAACTTTTATCGGTTGTTGTTGTTTGTTAAGAAAGCTCAAGGAGCCCTGGTGGCACAGTGGCTAAGTGCTCGGCGGCGAACTGAAAGGTTGGCAGTTTGAACGCACCGATTGCTCCCCAGGGAGGAGGAGGTGGCAGTGTGCTTCCGTGGGAGAGATGGGAAGTCTTGGAACCCCAGTGTGGCAGTGCAGCAGGGCTGCTGGGAGTTGGAAGACTGGACAGCAATGGGTTGGATTTGGGTTAAAAGGTTCCCTTCCAGACTTGGGGGGAGGGGAGGGGAAACTGGGTAGAAATCACGTGAGTGAGAGGGTACGTTTGGCGTTGGTTGAACAGGGTAAGCAGATCGGGCCGGGCTCCGAAAATCAGCCTATCCCAGGCCAGCAAGCATGCGCAGCTGGAACTGAGCTGAGCAGTGCTGTGGGAGGGGCCCAGATGAGGAAGAGTCACCGGGCGTTGATTTGGTCCGGGCCTCGTTCCATCACTGTGACCCTGCAGGGTGCTCCTTGCTGGGCCTCAGCTTTGGGGAGAAGAAGAGGGTTCCAATTTGCCAAGGCCGGGAGCCCTGATGGCCTCTGCCCAGGGGCTGAGGTTTGAGAATCCAGCTCCCTGCCCTGTCCCTGTCCCTTCGTGGCCCTCCTGGAAATGGGACTCACCAGAACTCGCCGTTCTCGGTGACCTGGTGCTGCAGACGGGCCTTCTCCTCGTTGCCCACGAAGCTCCAGCCCTTCCAGCTGGTGGGGAGATGGGTGAATTATTGGTGAGCGAGAAAGAGGAGGCCGGATGTGGATCTGGACTGTGGGTATCAGAGAAGTATAATGACGGTGATGGTCAGGGTGTCCTGTGTTCATTTCAAACCCCCCAGAGGGTAGGACAGGGCCTGGTGCAGTCAGCGCCGGGTTATTACAGGATACAAGTACGGGCATCTCCTATAGATGGAGGCTGTTTGATCACAGAATGTACTTGGCCAAGTGTGTCTCAACCCGGGCCTGAATGCTGCCATCAACCCATTGCTGCCCTCTGAGAGAGAATTGGTCACGTGCTTTAAGTGGGGACTGTGTTTCCTAATCGGTGGCCATCAGCAAGCTCTCTGGGTCCCTGACTCCCCTGCTCCCCTCCTGGCCTTTCGCTCGAGCCCACTCACTGGCATTCCCCTTCTCTTCCACTGATCCTTCCTTTAGACCACAAGACCAAATGTATCTGGTCAACCATCTCCTTGTCAGAAAAAAAATTAGTCAGCAGCCCCCTGTGATGAAAAACATTTGTACGGTCGCCCATCAGGCAGGATAAAGTGTAGGTGTCTGCTTTTGCAGCGACTCTAGGGCTGAGTGTCGCCTAGCGGGCAGCATCTCCCACTTTGGGAAACACCAGCTTAGGAGGTATTTTCAGCCCCACCAATCCAGGTTTGCCCAGACCCTGTTACCTCCCCCCATCATGGGGTCCCTGAACCTACCCTTCACTCCAGGAGCCATTCCACTCCATCTGGCCCCAGGGGTTCCGCAGGCGTACCAGCTTCACTTTCTCCTCCTTGAACAGGGTCTTGGGCAAAGAGGAAAAGCTCTCAGGCTCTGGAGCTGCTGTCTGGAAAGGTCTGGGATGGGGGTGGGGAGAGAATCCCTCCCAGGAGCATGGTCCTCTAGGCCCTGATCAGGGAGATCCGTCAGAACCTCCTCTGGAATGGGAAAACGGGCCAGAACCTTAGGACAGGGTATGCTGAAGTCATGGACTTGGCCACCACCTGCCACGGAGTGATCCAGGGGATATCCCAGTCATTATTAGCTCTGTGGGAAAGTGGTGGGACATTTCTAGTAGGACCCTAGTAGGACTCTGCTAGCAAGTTTAGGGTCTTGTGTGGTTAGAAAAATACTCCCTCAGTGAGTGGCAAAGGAGCCATGAAAAGATGTCCCCTCTAGGTGGCCCAATCAGAGAAAGGTTCTCTGACTCCCATCTCCTGCAATGGGCAGATTCAGCTGACGGCCCTTTTCTGCTCACCAGGAAGCAGCTGGGGTCAGAGGGTGACCCAAGTCATCCACAAAGTTTCAGCCAAACTCACCTCCTCCAGCCCTGTGACTGAGTAGGCATGACCTTTGACTAGCCCGTTGGCCATTTTTGTCTCATACTGAAGCGGAACAAGAGCCTGTGGAGTAGAACACAGACACTCTGTCAGGGTTGGGGAGCGTCAGCATCGCAGCCTGGAGACAAAGTTCCCGGCCATTTTCTGGGTTCCGTGAGGACAAGGAGGAGCCCTAGTGGTGTCATGGTTACATACTGGGCTGCTTACCTGCTAACCGCAAGGTTAGCTGTTCCAAGCCCCTGGCCGATCCATGGGGGAAAGAGCAGGTTTTCTCCCCCTGTAAGAGTTACAGCCTCTCTCTCTAAAATGAACCAGGGACACATACAAGCCATAGCTATATGAATGGACTTTGGACTCACCCTTCCTGCTAGCCCTTATCTAAGAGCAATCAGTTCTTATAATAAGGCCCTACTCGATAACGGCCCTCATGAGCAGATCACTGAAGATATGGGTGCTATAGAAAGCTGTGGTGAAGAAATCAGAAATACTTTGTCATCGTTGTTAGGTTTTTGTTTGTTCGCTTCTTGATTTTGTTTTGTATGTTGTTTTTCCTGTATATGCAACCCAGGATCAGTAAATCTGTAGTCAGTAGCTGGATTAATAGTTACATAGGAGCATGGCAGGGGAGATGGAGGACTAACCACAATAAATATGAGAAAGAAGAAAATGTTCTAAACTCGTGATGATTGCACAACTCTTCTTAATATGATTGGACTCTTGAATTGTAGGCTTTGCTAACTAATTCCAATAAAAAAAAAATATATATATATAATTTAAAAGGGTCTTGGCTAACTAATTCCAATAAAAATTTATATATATATATATATATATAATTTAAAAGGGTTTTGGAAAGCCACACGGACAGTTGTAGCCTGTCCTGTGGCGTCACGGTGAGTCGGTTTGAGGTCTGGTGTGTGCACCAGGACCGCCCTGTGCCCGGGAACATAGAGCAGTTCCCTACTGGGCCTCTTTCCTTTCTTTCTTAGCTCTCACTTTCAGTGGTCGGCTGCAGATTTAGTTGAGGGCGAAGGCAAAGCGATCCAGCAACCACACAGACCAAGGCGCGTCCGGCTACTTCCTTTTGTGCACGCTTCCATTTTTCCGTTGGGAATACTTTAAGTCGTGGATGGTGGCCCGCTGCTTTAAATGTCCCTGGGAAGTGGGCCAGAACAAAAGAGGAGCTAGGACCAAGGTTAGTTGCAGGTCCCCTAAGAAGTAGGGGACTCAGGAAGCAGGAAGACTCAGCCCCTGAGCTGGTGGTGCTCAGAGAAGGAGCATTCATTCTCTGAACTGGTGGAACGGTTCCCCTGGGCTGGTGCCACCTTTCAGAAGGCTCTGTTCTGACCACCAGAGGGCAGCGTGGCTGCAGGATGTCCAGCAGGTGACAGTGTCCCTGGCCCTGAAGAAGGGGGACAGGGGAAGGCTGCTTTAGGTTGGAGCTCCCTTCCCCTATTCAGGGTTTACTATTATTTCAGGAACAGTAGACAACCCTTCCCTGCACTTCCTGCCACCTCCTCCACAGCCATCTGCTGCTGCTGCTGTTAGACGCCACCGAGGCGATCGCAGTGTCCGACTCAAGGTGACTCCCCGCGCTACAGGGAACAGGGCCATGGCGCAGGGCGCATCCTGGGATTCTCAGTGTCCTGCTCATAGGTCTGGGGTGAGATTTGGGTATCAGTCCGTTTAGGTGCCCAGATGATTCTATTGTGCAGCCAAGGTTGGGAACTGCTGGTCTCGGGGAGGGTGATGGATTGGTGTAAGCATTTCTTGATGACAAGCAATTTGGAAATTGCTGCTTCCGCGAGGATCGGTATAGAAAAGGGACCCAGAGCACTTACTGTCAATCTAGGGGAGCTTTAAAAACTCAATGGGAAAAAATGACATTAACAAGTGATGGGATTTTCCCCACAAACTTTTTGAAGTCCCCTCCTCCAGGCACTCTCCAGAGTTCTGTCCCTAGTTCCTAAGTCTGTCTGTTAAGCTTGTCTGTGAGTCAGAATGTTTAGGCATGGTTTGTACCCAACATCCGTGAGTCAATGTTTGTCACAGTACCTAGGGTGCCTTTCTGTTCATCACAGACATTCAGGAAAGGCTTCAAGAGACACTAACATATACGACAACAGCAGTTGGAATCTTTTGCTGCATGTGGCCCAGGAGCCGCCCCCCTCGGCCCAGGTTTGTCATGGCAAACCACGGTCTGTTCCAGCCGTGTTGCTCTCTATACATGTTGTGCAGGAGCGCAACGAGATCATCGGGGAACCCTGCTCTTCATCAGCCAGGACGCTCCTTAGAATCGAGGCTGGTCACGTGCTTAGGACACTTTATCAGGAGGAACCAGACCGCAGAGAGAAGATGCTGGTGGGTAAGGCCGGGGGTCAGCGAGAAAGAGGAGTGCGCTCTGTGAGAGCCCCTGACACAGGGGCCGCCACCATGGGCTCCACCGCAGGAGGGAGTGTGAGGACGGTGCGGGGTCAGGCACCATCTGTGTCGGTTGGAGAGGAGGCCGAGACGAACCTCTTTAGACGGAGGAAATGTAAGTTAAGTTTTCCTTTGTGCTTCTCGGCGTGGTTGGGAATTCTTTCGACACACGTACAACTTCCCAAACGACTCGACTGTAAGCTCTCTGTGGGAGATGCTGTTTGATCCAATGCTAGCATGGTGTCTCGTACAGAGCTCAAGAAATAGGCGTTGATTAAACAAGGCGATTAAAATGGACAAAGTCTCCTTTAGCATGTCTGCCTGTCAATTTGTTGTCAGAGGACCCTCCTGAACCACGGGAAGCTAGGAAGGAATTCTTACAGAGATTCCCTCTAGCCTTCTTCAGAGGCCGTGGAGTGAACAGGCTATTCTAAGCCGTCCCTCGGGAGGCCCCACGTGGGGATCTGCAGGCACAGCACTGGCTGCCGAGGGGAGGGACTCCCAAGAGTGTCCCGTCATGCAGGTTGGAGGGCTGGTCAACCTTGACCCCTGGAGGCATACACACCCGGGCTGGTCTGTCATCTGTGCCTCTGGGGTCAAGGTCTGAGTCTCTGAGCCGTGAATGATCCATATTCCTCACCATCCGGTTAATCAAATCCCCCATGTTCATACCAGGAGAGGTCCCACAGATGAGGCTCGTCCCATCCTGAGGCCGGTGGGAAAGGCAGGGGACGATCCAGGAGAGGGAACAAAGGAAGGAAAGTGGAAAGGGAGGGGAGGAGGGAGGAAGGAGGAGAGGACGGACAAAGGGCAAGAGAAGAGACAACGTGAATGGAGAAAAGAGGGGGGAAGTGATGCAGAAAGGGAAGATTCAACCCAGGCGTTTCGGGCTAACTGCCCCTTCCAAGCTTTCCTGTTCACTGGGAGAGGGGGCAGCTGGAATTCATACTGGCCTCCCCCCTCGGCAATGGAAACCTCCAAGACTGTTTTATATGGAGCTGAATTGTGGACGGGGTGTATCCCTTGAAATGCAAGTGGCCCGGCCAGGGTCAACCATCTCCTTACCCCTCCTCTGGCTCCTGTTCCAGTTCACACCACCTTGGTGTGCCTAGAGGGGAACCACAGGCTGAATGGTTCCTGAGATAACAACCCAAGTCCATGCTCCAGTGAGGGGTCTGAACAAGGCTCCAGTGACTGGGAGAGTTTCTTAGGGATGTGCTGGCCATAGATCCCCAGCTTAACCAGGGCATGGTGACTGACTAGCACCAGAACGAGAAGCTAGTGTTGACAAACAGGTCTCTGGACCCATTTCCACCCAAAACCCCCATGACTCTGTATGTGCCCAATCCCTGTAGTGAAAGTCCCTTGACCAATTCTCCAGAGCTCAGGTTTGCTATTGGCAAAGTTTTCTCCTAAGACAACGCATTTGCCTTGTCTCTGAGCTAAGGGCTCCCCAACATTTGGCTGCTCTCTGCCCTGCAGCTGAGCCCACCCCCAGCCTTACATCAATGGAGCAGCCCATGAGGGAGCCCCTCTCGATGGCTTTCTTCATGATCTTGTACATGTCCCTGGGAGCTTCCTTGATCTCAAAAAACTCGGTCACTCCTCCTGTGAAGTCCTCCATAGCCTCTGTGGTGTTCCCACCTTTCAGGGCTTCATAGGAACCATGGAGCCTTGGACAGAAAGGTGAGAGCCAGGATGAGACCACAGGGTTCCAGGAAATGGGATCACTTGCCTCCCTGCCCCCCCCCCCACTCAGCGCTTTACTGTTCTCTCATTCAATTCCTCAACAACCTTGTGCATGAGTGAGGTGTGCACTATGACTCCTTTTCTTCACAGTAAAGAAGCTGGGAGACTCATCTAAGACCACCGGAAAAATCTGGTTGGAACCCAGAATTCCCCACCTCATTTCCGCTCCCCTTGAACCCTGAGGTGGGACTGCAGTGCAGTTATTAGCAGCTGGGGTCTGCATTCTAAGATGAGTGGGCTTATGCCCATTCTTGTACTATCGGCTTACAAGACGGAGCCAACCAAAACCTTCCGTTCTACTCTCCAGGGGTACCAGCCTCTGATCCAAGACTTTCAACCCTGCCATCCAAGTGTTGACTCAGAGCGCTGGTTGGTGCAACTGTCGAGGGCTCACCTTGGAGCGCTAAAGCTAAGGATTTCCTGTCCAAATCTTCATTTCTTCTTTTAAATCAGTGTTTTTGATTGTTAGAGTTCATTGCTGCTTGGGCCTGGCCTTCCCTGGCTGTGTGTCACAGCTGAATGCTCATCCAGGCCACACGTACGCACACATAGACAATTTGCAGTCTACCGTAAGGGAGACCTTGGCTGTTCTTTGCAGTCCACCTCCCGACCTCTAGTCTGACAACCCACATTCCATGGTGCTTCCTTACTTAGCATAGGCCTTCTCCAGCAGAGCACTCCAGAACTCATTGCGGTGGTTGGATTTGGTGAAAACCAGTTGATTGTTGTAAGTCGGCAGACAGTCATCAATAATCACATCCACCCAGTCTCCATAGCGCCAGAACTGCACAGAAGCATCAAGCACACATTACCGTTGGGAGGTGTGTCCCCTTCCCTCCCATTCCTCCGGGGCACCGTGGGTCCCAAAGCAGCAGTATTTCCCGGGTTCTGCATGTTGGAGCGTGTTCCTATTACGCTGGGCCTGGGTGTGTGGGTCTATCTCTAGTTGGCTGTGAGCTCCTTGGGGGAAGGAAATGAGCTTTCCACTACATGGCCTCTTCCACAGAGTCCGGCCCAACACTGAGCCTGACCATGGCGCAGGAACATCTTGGGATTCTCAGTGTCCTGCTCAGTAGGTCTGGGTTGAGACTTGGGTATCAGTCCGTTTAGGTGCCCAGACAATTCTATTGTGCAGCCAAGGTTGGGAACTGCTGGTCTGGGGGAGGGTGATATATTGATTTAAGTATTTCTCGATGACAAGCAAGGTGGAAATTGTCCCTTAAAGAAGGATTGATATAGAAAAGTGGCCCAGAGTACATATTGTCCATCTATGGGGGCTTAAAAAACTTGATGGAAAACTGACATTAAAAGGTGATAGTTTTCCCAGAAACTTTTGGAAGTCCCCTCCTCCAGGCAGTCTCCAGAATTCTGTTCCTATGTCTGTCTGCTAAATTTGCATGTAAATCAGAATAGTTAGGGGTAGTTTGTATCAGAATGTCCCTTTCTGTGCATAATAGAGGCATGCTGCAAGATACACTAAGACATTTTTAACATAATACAATAATAATAGTAATAATAATAATAATAATACTGTTATGATGCCTGTTGCAAAGTAGCCCCTGTATGTGATGACAAACCATCCTGTAGGCCGCAACATTTTAATGTAACAGGCTTGAAGGGGAGGGGGTGCTTGAAAATGTCCGTTGGTCAGATATTCATCACCTAGGGACTGCCTGCCATTTCAATTCTGGGTGGCTTGCTTTGTCGTTGGTGTGTGTGTGTTTTAAAACAATTCACCTTTAACTGAAGAAGGTCAAATGTAGTCTCATCTCCTTTCCATGGCATTTTCTCCTCTAGTGAAAAGAGGGCAAAAGTCTGTCTTCTCTGGGAGGCTCAGGGGGCACAAACAGTTAAAGTGCTCAGTGATCCAGGGCAAGCCTGGTGGTTTGAACTCTCCCACCAGGTATGTGCAGACAGGTCTGGCAATCTGCTGCTGTAAAGCTGCGACCAGGAAAGCGCTTCATTACGAGGCAGTTCTGCTCGGCTCCGTGAGCTGCTGAGTCGAGAGACTCAATGGCACTTAACAAGAACCCCTTCCTGGCCCAGGTCTCCGAGGAAGACGATGACCAGGGAGGCAGCAGCATTCAGGTCCTGGCTGCCTTACCGGTGCTCAGAGGGCCACAGGATACTGGGCCTGGGAGCTACCGAAAGAGAAAGTCTCTCCGGAGGCCCTAGTCCTAACATACCAAACCAACAGGTACATCAACGAGGGGATGCACCTGGATCAGGCTCAGAAACATCAGAGATCCCCATCTCTTATTTAGATCTGTGTGTATGGGGTGCACTTCAGCTTGGGGCCCGCACCAGGATCTCGTTCTGTGCCTGGACAATCTGGCCCCAGAAAATGTCTAAGCGATTCAATTCTGGGCCAACCCTGCCTCCGGTCTCCAGATTGATTAGCTAGACGTTTCTCCCCGGGGGCTAAAAGAGGGACGTAGAGCCGTTTTCAGTGGCAAGAGGTCAACGGGCTGTGGTTCTTTGGCGGAGGGCTCCCTTATGATGCAGAGAGCCGCACGCCTCCTGGTGCTGACATCTTAGGGAACTGTTTGAGAAGGACAGGAGCCAGAGACAAAGCAGCCAGCCAACTGGAGAGGCAAAAATAGACGCACATGCCAGCAAACAGGATGTTTTCCGGACTTTCGGGGTCAGAGCGGATGGAAGCTGTGTGCGGGGGTGGAGAGAGATGGGGTCAGGATCGACAACTGCGTTCTCTTGACTTTGAAGCCTCAAAGCTGCCTACGGTCACAGATAGGAAGGTGGGTCTTTCTGGGGGAGCCCCCGGGGAAGTCAAGGCCAGGAGACCAGGGGTGGGTGGACGGCAGCTTGCTTTGGTGACCCTCCCGTCGCCTCACCTGGAAGTGGAAGATCCCTGCATAGTTGTCGATGAAGCTCTGATCATGGGGTATGACTCGGAAAAGCAGCCGCTCGTTCAGGGTCAGGCAGGCGATGGCCGCCAGAAACCAGCAGTCCCCTGCAGACGAACATGGGCCCGGGTCAGGCGGGGCCTGCCCCCACGCCAGCGGCTCCACTTCTCTGGGGCTCCTCGGAAGAAATGGGCTTCCCTTGCTGCTCCTTGCCCAGTTTGCAGGTCTGACCTTGCAGAGGGGATCCCCCAGGGAAGAAGCTTGTAGAGGGAGTCCTCTGACCATATGATAGGCAGGGTAACTTCGCCTAGGAAACTTTCCCACATGCAATTCAAACCAGGATCTGTTTGGGGCCTCACTGGAGACCGGGCAGTCGGTTATTCTAACTGGGTCATGCTCGCTGACCCCTGTAAGAATTCCATTCTGCTCCAAACCTCTGCTGCATGAGGCCATTGACTCTTTGGACCTCAATGCAGGCCGAGCTTCGGGGCACCCCCAGCCAAGCAGGTTTGTAGGGTATGGAAAGTCAGTTGGTAGCTCCCTGGGCCAGTCCATGGGGGATATAGGGAGCCATGGGGTAGGCATGGCTTATGCATTGGGCAGCTAACCAGCTGCTCTGAGGGAGGAAGATGAGGGAGTCTGCGCTGATAGCCGCAGGAACGCTAAGGAGCGATTCTACTCTGTCCTACCAGGTGGAAATCAGTTGGGATCAACTTGATGGCCGTGGGTTTAAGAAGGTCTGGAGGTGCCGTGGTTAACTCACCGAGGTGTTCAAACCCAGCCAGCAGCTCCGCAGGAGGAAAAGGCCTGCCCTTATACCTATGACCGCCCAGGAAACCCTCAAGGGCAGTTCCCCTCCATCGTACAGTATAAAGACCTCAACTCACTGCCCTCGAGTCGGTGCTGATTCATGGTGTCCCAATAGGACAGGGTAGAGCTGCTCCTCATGGGCTTCTGAGACGGAAACGCTTTCTGGGAGTAGAAAGCCTCATTTTTCTCTCCAGGAGTCCTGGTGGTTTCAAACGACGGACCTTGCACTTAGCAGCTCGATATGGAAGCACTCCGCCACCAGGTGATTGGAATCGGCTTGATGGCACAGAGCAAGATATACATGGCTGACAACTGAGAATGTTTCCCATTCTCAGATCTCCTTGGCAGACGACAATATGTAGCTAGAGGTAACAATTTGCTCTGTGTGCATGTGTGCGTGTGCCTGTGCGTGCGTGCGTGCGTGCGTGCGTGCGTGCGTGCGTGTGTGTGTGTGTGTGTGTGTGTGTGTCCACAGAACCCTGGTGGCAGAGTGGGTTACCTATTGCTCTGCTAACTGCAAGGTTAGCAGTTAGCAGCCCCCAGCTGTTTCCCGAGAAAGATGACAATTTCTGCCTCTTCAAAGATGTCCAGCCTCAGGAACACTGAGGGGTGGCCCCGCTCTGCCCTAGAGGGGCCTAGGAGTCAGAATCGGCTGGCTGGTAGTGAGTTTGCTTTTTGCTTTGGTGTGTGGACATGGCTGGTTACACCATCTGAGCAGGCTTTGTTTGCTGTGTGGGAAGTGATGGTGTCTTTGAGATGGTAGAGGGGAGGCTGAGACCTGCTGGCAGACCCCGCCCCCTCCGCCCTCTCCTGTGAAGCAGCTTCTCCTTGGACATCACGTGTTGGTTAGAAGGGCCAGATGACCGGCTTGCCCAGGATCCTTCTCTCTGGGGCATCACTCAGTGATCCAATCCCTCCTGAGTCTCTTGAGCTCTGATGGCCCAATAAGCAAAACAAATCCCTTGTATTTGGTCTTGGGTCCCCTTTTCCCTCTGTTTTTTTTTTAATGCCTACCACAGTTTCTTTTTTTCATTTGAAAGGTCCTTGAGTTTATTTCTTTAAATATAAAAAACCTTACCCCAAAATTAATTGCTGTGGAGTTGATTCCGATTCATGGTGACCCTATGTGTGCTAAGAGTCGAAATGTGCTCGCTTCTTTTTAATAGTTTATCTTAGTTGTTGAGAACATTCACAGCAAAAACATACACCGTGCTTACGAAGCCTATTGAATGTACCACGGGCTGCCAAGAGAACAAACAGATCTGACTTGGAAGACGTACAGCCAGAATGCTCCTGAAGGGCAAGGAAGGCGAGACTTTGTCTCACGTACTTTGGGCATGTTTTCAGGAGGGACCAGGCTCTGGAGAAGGACCTCATGGTTGGAGACGTAGAGGGGAAGAGCCTTGACAAGAGGGACTGGCACGGTGGCTGCCACGCTGGGCTTGGATATGCGGGACCGGGTGGTGTCTCCTTCTGTGAAGTCCAAGGTCACCAGGAGTTGGAAATGACTCAACAGCTCCAGCTTCAGGAAACAGTCGTCAGCTTCGATGTGTGCGATTCAGTGACACAGACTTTGAGGTCTGCGACCATTCTGTCCTCCTTTTCTGTTTGAGCCCTTGGTATCAGCGCCCCCTTTTTCCCTCCTTCCCCCACCCTCCCACCCTCACGGCCCCTTGATAAATTGTAAGTTGTTATTTTTATATCTTACACCAACTGCTGTCTCCCTTCACCCACATTTCTGTTGTCCTTCCCCGGGGGTTGTTACATGTTGATCATTGCGATGAGTTCCCCCTTCTTTAGGGTTTTAAATTCTTTCTACTGACGTTCTCTTCTCTCTAATTTACAGTGTGGATTTTTCCAGAAGTCTACACCTGAAAGTACTTCCTGAACAAGAGACTCAGTGAGAGGAAGCCACGGTAAGGAAGGAAACAGAAGCTGGATGACCAGCCACGTGGTCAAGGTCATCCTTGCTGAATGATGCATTTACCCAGGGGGTTATTCCCGGGCCACTTCCATAAGGATGAGAGGGATGTGAGCTCTTTTCAGTAATGAACATCGTCTGTGCATATAGATGCTACCTGCCCACGGGGCATGCTTGGAACACAGTCCTAGCGCAGTCTTCTAAGGAAGATGCACACAGGTAAGAGCAGGGCTGAGCGGCATGTGTGTAAGTCCTTGAGACTGCAGGGGGAAGCTTATAGAATGAGGCGATATATAATGGAGGGGGGAATTGAATGAGACTGCAGGGGGAAGCTTATAGAATGAGGTGATATCTAATGGAGGGGAGAATTGAATGAGACTGCAGGGGGAAGCTTATAGAATGAGGTGATATCTAATGGAGGGGGGGATTGAATGAGACTGCAGGGGGAAGCTTATAGAATGAGGTGATATATAATGGAGGGGGAATTGAATGAGACTGCAGGGGGAAGCTTATAGAATGAGGTGATATATAATGGAGGGGAAATTGAATGAAGCTATCACCAGCACATAGATCAGGGGTCCTCAAACTACGGCCTGCGGGCCACATGCGGCCCACCAAGGACATTTATCTTGCCCGCAGGGTGTTTTTGCCCCCCTCTTTTTTTTACTTCAAAATAAAATATGTGCAGTGTGCATAGGAATTTGTTCATCATTTTATTTTTAAACTATAGTCCAGCCCTCCAACGGGTCTGAGGGACAGTGAACTGACCCCTGTTTAAAAGCTTGAGGACCCCTGACATAGATAAATGAGCATCGAGTAACTGTTAGGAAATCTTTTGAAAATGAAGTAAAAGCAAAACCCACATTTTTGCCCCTTTACTTCTTTCTGTAAAGGGATCATAATTCCCCTTGAATCATCTAGCTGGGTATGATGACACTCCCCACCCCCCCACTCCGGGGCTTTCCTACCTAGATCTCCTTGGCAGATGTCAGTTCTGTTGGCTCCACCAATGATAAATCGGGGATTCTCACAAATTTCCTGTGAAGCAAAAAGGAAAGATGGGGTCACCATGATCATAGCCACTAATTATGCCAGGTCAGTGTGTCGCACTGACCCCCATGTTTGACACGCCGCTCGTCTACACCCGAAGGACAAAGAGGCCTGTGTATTGAACACGGTCACTCCCATTTTTCAGGTCAAGAGGGTTCCAAGGAGGCCCACGGAGACCCAGTCAGCGCGTGGAGAGGTGGAAGCCAGCAGCTCACTTCCGTGCTCAGGGGCGCACTGCTCCCCCATCCTGCAGGAGGGAGGGTTCCGCCGCCTCAGAGTTCGGGTGGCAGCCTTCCCGTCGTCACAGCGTTGGTGAAGTGGCAGCCAGAAGCACAGCTTTTGCTTTGACTGTGGGTGTGGGAAAGGGACTCAGCGGTCTTCCTTCCCTAAGAGGAGGGACATATTTAGAGGTAGCATTTGTCTCAGGATCTGTAGGGCTTGATAGGTGGGGTGGACAGAGGATGGACTTGGCGTGGGGCTCGGAGGCATCCCTGTCTGTTGGTCAAGCCTACCAAATAGGGCACCAGCACCAGCACTCTCAAGTCTGGGTACCACGGATGATGCGCTCCCCCCACCCCGTGACACCCACCCTAGAGAGCCTCAGACAGAAGCACACTGTTGAAGATGGCCAGGCCTGATGGTATTTGTTGTGTTGCATGAGGTACTTGGATTCAGGACTGGCTGGCACCTAACAAAACCACAGAGGCACCCAGAGCTGAGCTGTTTCGACCAACAGAGGGTACGCTTGTTCCTGTTTGGATGTGTCTTACGGGTTTTCGCTTTTTTTTTTTTCAAAAAAGAGAAAACTTTTCTCCCCCTATCTATTTTAAAGTCATTATACATTCTGCGGCTTGGTCTTAACACCATTCTTCACAGCTTAAGAAGCCTTGCCAGTTCCGTGACCCATCTCCCTTCCTCCTCTCTTCCCTCCTCAGTCACACCCCCAATAAACGCAAATCTGCTGAAGTTCCCAGCACTCAGGGGTCTCCCCATTCAAACACCCTCCTGACAGAAGGTATCAATTTACAGTCCCACCCCCTGCAGGGGAGAGGGTCCCTTTGACCCCCACAAACACTCAGCATTGGAATTAATTTTTAAAGGGCCTTTGCCAATTTAATAAGGGCAAAATGGCATCTCGTTTGTTGCTTTGAGTTGAGCTATTTATGGAATGTCAGTGCATGTATTTCATCCGTTTTGCAGTTTGAGTATTAGAATTCTAAAGACAAACGTTCAGCAACTTAAAAAGAAAAAGATCAGTTCTGTGTTTTTTAAAACAAGCCCCCAGCTTGTGTCCTTATGTGTCTCCTGTATGTCATTCAGCATAGCATTTTTGCTTTTTAAATTTTCTATTGTGATTAGGCGAGGGTTTGCATTTTGTATTCTACAGTTTTAACAAGTTATCAGCCTTCCCACTTAGCAGCCTGCCCTGCACCCCCATTTTCTCATCTTCCTCTTGTCAGGTGCTACCCACCCCCTCACCAAGTTGTCACCTCTCTACCCTCTACCCATTTATCCCCAATACCCCTCCCTTCCCCTCCTACCACCGGCAGCCATCAAAGTCGATTTCTTTGGGTATAATACCCTTTATCCTAATTTCTTATAACAGTGACCTCGTACCATAGTTTGTGTTTGACTGACCTCACTCAGCGTAATGCCCTCTGAATCCATCCATGTCAGCAGGTGCTTCACAGGTTCACCGTTATTTTTAGTGACGCGCAGTTTTCCACCGCGTGTGGGTACCAGAGTTTATGCGTTCATTCTTCTGCTGACAGAAGGATTTTGGTTGTTCCCATCTTCTTGCTTTTGTTAACAGTGCTGCAATGAACATGAGTGGGCATAGACCTGTTTGCGCTGTGTTTGTTCTTTCTCTTTTTAAAATTGTGAATTAGGTGTGAGTATTTCTGTAGAACATATCCCAAGAGAGGGATTGCTGGGTCGTATGAGATTCCCAATTGTTTGAGGAAGCACCATATTGCTCTCCACAGTAGCTGTAGTGTTTTATAGTCCCACCAGCAATGAACGAGGCTTCTAATCTCACCAGACCCTCTCCAGCATTTGTCATTTTCTTTCTTTTTTAAAATAAATCATTTTCTTGGGGACTTGTACAACTCTTATCACCATCCATCCATCCATCCATCCATCCATCCATCCATCCATCCATCCATCCATGTATCCATGTGTCAAACACATGTGTACATTTGTTGCCATCATCATTTTCAAAACATTTTCTTTCAACTCGAGCTCCTCATTTCCCCCCTCCCTCTCCCACTCTCCCTTCCCCCTCATGAACCCTTGATCATTTATTTTTTAATTTTTCATGTCTTACACTGACCAATGTCTCCCTTTACCCACTTTTCTGTTGTCCATCCCCCTGCGAGGGAGGGTTATAGGTAGATAATTGTGATCGGTTCCCCCTTTCTCCTCCCACCTTCCCCTTATCCTCCTGGTTATGGCTACTCTCCATATTGGTCCTGAGTTGTTTATAGGTCCTGAATTCCCTCTGTTTCCAGCTCTTATCTGTATTAGTGTACATGCTGTGGTCTAGCTGAATTTGTAAGGTAGAACTGGTAGGTAGATCATGATAGTGGGGGTGGGTTGGGGAGGAAGCATTAAAGAATTAGAGAAAAATTGTATGCTTCATCGGTGCTATACAGCACCCTGATTGGGCTGTCTCCTCCCTGTGACCATTGACTTTGGGTCTCCACTCTGCATTCCCCAACCCCCCTTCACAAGGACATGATTTTTTGTTCTGGGTCTTTGATACCTGATACTTGATCCTTTTGACATCTCATGATCACTAAGGCTGATGTGCTTCTTCCATGTGGACTTGGTTTTTTCTCAGCTAGATGGCTGCTTGTTTATCTTTAAGCTTTTAAGACCCCAGATGCTATATCTTTTGATAGCCGGGCACCATCAGTTTTCTTCACCACATTTGCTTATGCACCTGCTTTGTCTTCAGTGATCGTGTTGGGAAGGTGAGCATCTCAGAATGCCAGATTATTAGAACAAAGTGTTCTTGTGTTGAAGGAGTACTTGAATAGAGGCCCAATATCCATCTGTTTCTTTAATATTAAACCTATAAATATATGTACATAGACCTATTTCCCCATCGTCATGTATATAAATATATTTGCATATGTACATGCCTTTATTTAGACCTCTAAAATGCCCTTTGCCTCCTAGCATTTTCCTCTATTTCCTTTGACTTCCTCTTGTCTCACTATCATGTTCAGCCTTCATTTGGGTTTCAGTAATTCCCCTTGGCTACATTCCCCTTGATCAAGCCCCACCAGGCCTCCTACATCCTCCTGGCCATCGATTTTAGGTCACTTGTTGTTCCCTTGGCATATGTCATTTTCTATTTGCTGGTTGTTGTATTTTTGTTTGTTTTGTTTTAACTTTGCTATTAATGCCAGGGTGAGGTTAGATATCTCATCATTGTTTAGATTTGCGTCTCTTGAGGGGCTAGAGATGGTGCTCATTTCTTCATATGTTTTTTGGCTGCCACTGTTGTCTTTGGGGCACACAATGCTTTCATGCCTCTTCCACGGTCTAGCACAGCTCAGAGCTTCGTTCCTCCGCTGACAAGAGTCATATTCCGTTGTCTCTCTGTGTCACACTTGGCTTATCCACTCTTCTACAGAAAGGCATTTAGGTTATTTCCACCTTTGGGCTATTGCGAATAGCCCTGCAATAAACACTAGTGGCTGTGGATCAGTTTTTGTCCCGGCATTCAATTTTCTGGGGGTATATGCCTCCCTAGGAGGGGAATCTCTGGATTGTACATAATGATATTTTAAAGGACAACGAGATGACCTTGAAAGGATGACCAGAACGCAATGAGAAACCTCTGAGTACATATGGGAAGAGTCAAGTATTTATTTGTTTTTTCTTTCTCTTCGACACCAGCTAATTCAATATAAATGATCTAGTATTGTGTCTAAAAATCTACCACGAAGTGTTCACATATATTTTGTACTCATCGATATGGTTTATTAATAGCAATGACTAAAATGTATTGAGATTATACTTTGCACCAGGCACTCTGCTGATTTCCATATATTATTTTACTTCATGTTCACAATGATTCGATGAGGTAAGTTCTTTTATTATTCCCATTTTACATATGCAAAAACAGAGGCACAGGGAGGCTAAGCTTCTTGCCCAGAGTGTAGAGCAGACTTCAAACTAATGTCTAACCAGAGTACATAGTCTTCCATGGCATTATAGAAATATTGAGTAGAAACTGTCATTTCCATGATAATGCAAATCAGAAAACAGAAAACTCTCATTATTTCAAATAAGACTCCATCCTATTTGGATAAAAATAAGCCAACTAAGGCACAGTGGACACAGGTTGTTTTTGCCTCCCTGAAATACATTTTTCTTCTTTGGGGACTGCAGTTACTTTTTCAGTGGAGAATAACTTCTGGCAGTGGTTCTGGTTGGGCGGTACCCTCCAACCAGTTCCAGAAATTCTAGAGGCCATTAGAATGTGAGCAGTTGACTCAGAGATAGGCACATGATCAGGCCCCAGACTTTCATTGTAATTATTGGGGGTGTGTGTGTTACATCCTTTTCGTTGAACATTGCTAAACTAGTTTCCTGTGACCCTAGTTGCCCCATTATGAAGTTAGCCTGCCCGAGCATAAAGCCAGCACCAAGGAAACCAGAGACGAGGCAATTAGCTAGCTGGCTAGTTACATACAGACAAATCCCAAACTTCAAACTCATTGCATTCGAGTTGGTGCTGCTCACAGCGACCCTGTAGGACAGGGTAGAACTTCCTCCGTGGGTTTCTGAGACTAGAACTCCTTATGGGAGTAGAAAGCCTTGACTTTCTCCAACAGAGCAGTTGGTGGTTTGGAACTGTGGACCTTGTAGTTAATAGTCCAGTGTGCAACCCACTATGCCTCCAGGGCTTGTCCCACATTGATATAGACAAAATATCCATAGATTATAGATTGTTGGTGTTACCAGTTACCATTAATAGATTAATAATTAGATTAATAGATACATAGATGTTAAAAACCAAGCCAAACCCACCACCACTGCGTTAATTTGACTGGTAGCCACAGTATAGGATGGAGTAGAATTGTGTCCTGAGTTTCCTAAGACTGTAAATCTCTATGGAAGCAGACAGCCTCATCTTTCTTTCATGGAGTTGCTGGTGGCTTCGAGCCATCAACCTTTAGGTTGGAGGTTGGCAGGCTAATGGTTACTTAAATCATCGGGCTCCATATCTAGATGATCAAACACAAAACAAAAATAAAACTCACTGCCATCAAGTTGATTCCAACCCGTAATGACCCTAGAATACAGGATAGAACTCCCCTGGTCCCCCACTGGTTTCTGAGTCTGTAACTTTACGAGAGTAGAAAGCCTCATCTCTTTTCTTCAGGAGCCACTGGTGGTTTTGAACTACTGACCTTGTGGTTAGCTGCCCAACTCATAACAACTATGCCACCACGGCTCCCTTTTTCTACACAGACAATAGGTAGATAATATGAGAAATTGTCACAACCAAGAGGAGCCTAGGAGACATGACAGCTAAACATAATGCCGTGTCTTGGACATGATTTATGAACAGAAAAAGGGCTCCAGGGGAAGACGGAGGTGATCTGCAACAAGCATGGACTTCAGTTACTCGTGGTCTATCCATGGGGTTCACTGAGGGCAACAAACATGGCGCACTCCTGGGGACACTGGGTGGAGGAAGAGCGGACCTCTGCACAATCTTCTCAATTTCACGGGAAATCAAAAGTGGTTCTAAATGAAAAGGCATCTTTAAAACTAGGAATAGCTCACATAGTTTTCACACACCTTAATGGAGCCTCTTGGACATCCACGGGGTTATACACATTCCACCTGGGAGACCACAGGTACAGAGAGAGCCCTGCCTGAAGGCACTGAGTCCCTTGTGGTTAAAGCAAACCCCCAGGAAGTGACCATAGGAACCCCTCGTTGCTGCGGAAAGTAGCCTTTGACAAACTGTTCCATCCTGAAAGGAGTCTGGCTTGTCGCATTGACTTGTCTGTTAGGACTAACACTGTCCCGATGAGCCAGCGTTGGTGAAATGCCAAAGGAGGCAAGTTCCCAGCCTCCTCCAGCCCCCCCCCCCCCATTTATTCACTGTTCACCACCTTTCCTGGGTCTCTCCCTGAAACTATGAGCTCAGTACTGTCAACCACCCTACTTTCCCAGCCCTTCATGACATCCTTCTCCCCAGAAGAAACTTGATAATCAATTGTACCTTAACTCAATTCGTGCCCTCTTGAAAACACAATGTCAGGAACCTATCCAAGCCAATAAACCAGACTCACTGCCATCGAGTTGATTCTGACTCGTAACATCCCTATAGAGCAGGGTCGAACAACCTTTACGGGTTCCCAAGATTATAACTCTCTTACAGGCGTAGAAAGCCTCATCGTTTTCTCTCTGAGTGCTGGTACTTTCAAATGACTGGCCGTGTGATTAGCAGCCCAGTGCATAACCACCATGATACCAGAGATCCCTCAGGAACTCCCAAAAGTATAATCATTTCTAGCCCAGGAATAGAAACTAGCATCTCCAGTTTCTGGAGGAAGCAGGGCATGCTTTGGGGACCTGAAGCATGGGGAAAGAAGACCCCCTAAGAAGCCACTAGTTCAGTGAGGGAACCCCTGACCTTGGCCTCTAGACCACTTGACTATCTGTTCCCTGGTGCTCTCCTAAGCCCGGCCCCTCCCTCCCTACCTTGGGTCTTTTCCACAGGATGGCCTTCACGTTGGTTTTCTGGCTCAGCTTAAGGGAGCCCAGGGTTTGAGCACTTGAGGGAAACATGGGATCTTCAAAGAGACGCTGCTGCTCCAGGCACCGTTGTTTGAGAACAATAAAATCTTGGCCCTTGAACTTGAGGGGCTGTGTGATGGTGCCCTCTCCATTTCTCCTGTCCCTCCCCCGGATCACACGGTCACAGAAGAATTCTGGCAGCAGGTGGGGCATGGTGACCGCTCAGGGAGTGCTGTCTCCGTCCCTCCCCAGACCTGAGCCTCCCGTGAAGGGGACGGGCCTAGAGAGATCCTCCACCCTCAGCAGCGAGGTGCCAG